AATCAGTTATATTTAAACGCAGTGTTCCAGTTGTTCCATGAATAGCACATAAAACTAAGAGAATAACACAAAAAGGGCAGAATTAATTGACTCCTCTTTTCAGTCAGTCTCTTCTTCAGCCAATTATGAAGAACTGTTTGGAGAAACAGATTTCCAGTTCTAGTTTGATAAAAAATATAAGGAATTGCCTACTGAATTTGAATGAATTCAACTGGAATATAAAAGCAATTTGCTGATGGTCTGATCAACATAAGTGGTGGATTATATATGATTATACATTCTCTTTGAGAAATCCTGCAGAACTAGTTTAGCAAATGTGGTTACAGAAGGACAGTTATCTCTATCTTCAAAAACTGAAGAAAGAAGAATCCAGGGAACTACAGACCAGGCCAAATTCTAGGGCAGATTATACAGTCACATTAGTAGACTCTAACTGAAATGGTAATCAAAATTTAAGACCAGTTTAAACTAGAGAAATGAAAAAATTTCTCTGAGTTTTCCTTTGACTGGGTTTCAAACACAGGCTTTAAATTGGATTCCCACAATGAACGGGACTCTGTAACTTAAATGACTTCAACTCAATGAATCTATGAAATGGCTTCAAAGAATAACTGGAACCTTTAGCTGAGTTATAAAATGCAAATCCATAACGTCTGATTTTGATTCTGTGTGGTACATGAGTTTAGACGTAGTTTCTAAGGCATGATGTATGTCTTAGCAAATTCTGTGAATCAAGCTTTTATAGTTTATTCAACAAACCAGGATTAAAAAAGTAATGCGTGAACACACCTGTATGGAAATTTCAACCTCTTGCTAATTCATCGATACCAGCAAATGGTTATTGGAATGTTTTCTAGGAATAAATTCAGTAATCAGGATCACCCCCACTTCTCATAAATGCTAACATTTAATTCCTTTTGCAGTGACTGAAAGGCTTCACTCATGTGGGAATTCCTCAGTGTATGCAGAGTTTAACAGCCAGGAGGAATCAGTTTCTTTCAGAAATAGAATTATCACCCCACAGCTTCATATATTTGAGTCATTGACTGTTTCACCTCAAGAGGATGTACAAATCTCCATCTCTCATCCTATGGACACAGCTTGGAGCACCACAGTTGTGAGGGATAATCGCAACTTGGAAACATATTTTCAAGAAACATCTCAGCCACAAGCGGACTTCCACTTCAAAAGCAGGCACTCTGTAGCCTCACAGGCATCTGTATTAATTATGGATTTTCCAGACAGAATACATGAAGGCAGCACTGGGGAACAGGAAGCTACTGTGGAACAAGATGATTCCAAGTACCTCACTTGCTCATCCTCATCCTCTTCTGACTCTGAGCCAGAAGGTTTCTTCTTTGGGAAGCCAATTCCAAAGCCTGGTTCCAGATGTGGAACTTTTGCCAACATGGAGCAGGAAACACTTGGGAAAGGAATGGGGTGGGCTGCCAGAGCAAGAGTCAACAGCAAACACTGTAGTATATCCTAGCAGACAGGCAATGATCAGCCATCTGAAGAAGTAAAGCAAATGGGGAAGAGACAGTAATGGAATGCAATGAATAAATTAAAATTAGTATCAGAAACCTGCTCAAAGATGCACGCGTGCATGCATAAATATTCCATTCTCTTCCTGCTGCAAGGCTGATAATTCTAAGTCCAAAAAGCAGATTAAAAAGTCAGCATTTGTTTTATAATTTTGGATGCCAGAGATAATTATTTTTAACGAGTCAGCACATTTTTATTAAATCAAATAAAGTTAGTTACCATCTTGGCTAGAAGAAGACCTCTAAACCACTTTTATTTGGCTCACTCAAGAGTTTAAAATTAATTCTTAAATTTTCTTCATCACATAAGATAGCTGCTGAAGAAAGAAAAAAAATACTACCTGCTTCTCAGACTATAATCTATATTACTGTATTTAGTTTTGATGATATTGGGGAAAAGTTACGGTATTCAACCTTGGCTCTGACAAGTACCAGGAATATTTCAGGTTGACAAGATGATTACTCCAAGTTTGCTCTGAAGAAACAAACCACTTAATGCTCTTTCACCTGTCAAGGAAACAGGCTTGATCTTATACTTGTTTTCTGTACTTAAGATGTTTTTCCAAAACATTCTGCTACAGGACTTATTTTCATGCTGACTCAGATTTCCTATCTCAGCATCACATACAGCCTCATTTGAATGTCTGCAGCTGACTCCCACACTCCATCAAGACTGTTAATTAAACACACACTTGTGGTCGGAACATTAAGTCAATGTAACAAACGGGGGCCTCCTATAGCAGCAGTACTGATTGGATGTTGCTTACTATATGTTATTACACAGATTTGTATGTTCTGGAAGTTAATGAAATAAAATACAATTTCTCAAATAAGATTTGAGGTTAATGTCATACAATGAAATTAGTGGGTCGGGAATTGAAGCAACAGCCTCCAGAGATTTTAATATTTTCAATTCAATGACAGGCTAAGAGCGAGTTCAAAGAAAAGTGGGCGAGGTAAGTGGTTTGGAGATGTGATTCACTTTTGGTGGAGCATACAGAGAGTTTGACTATAGACAAGAAAAATAGAAAAATAACATCAGATGTGGCATTGAGGCCTCTTGTCAAGACCATAAGAGGCGAAATGTATTAAGGGTGATAGTTACAACAATGAAGGCAAAGGTTTACATTCATACACATCACATACGCATTCATGCTGCTAAAAGGGAGACCCTTTTGCATAGTTACACTTTGCTTGGGAAAGATTAATATGAGAAGATGATGTTCTTAACTGAAAAAAAAGAGGCAGAAATTAGGAAAATAATTACCTTTCCTTTGGAAGTCTAGGCTGAGGTGTGGGCCCTGATGTACTGGAAGCTGGTGCAGCTTCTTGGAATTTATTTTTAAAAAAGCAAGCAGTGTTTTCCTCTGACTCAACTGTTGACAGCCATTTTTATACTTCTCTTGTGGAATTAAGTCAATTAAATCAAAACCAGATTCTCATTTCAGGATTTGAGAAGTGGTCAGGAGTCAAAAAGAAGGAATGTTGTTTTCCTTCAATTTTGCTAGGCTGAAGGAAGTCAAAAGGATGGTGATTTTGTAGCATAATGATCAATGTTTTCATTATTTTAAGAAAATGCTTTCTTAAAGTGAAGGCTTGATAAATTTGGATACAAAGTCGAGATAGATTTAATCTTTTTATGTCAAGTTCAGTATCAGAAAATTAACTTCTGCATAAATACTGTATGTAGCCTATCTGATGAATCTTTATAGCTATTTATAAAACTTCTCCCCTTGGACAGGCTCTGCAATATAAATGTTAATTGGAGGATGGAAAATGTTAACATTTGTGGTAATGTTTCTGGAAGCTCATATATCAGATCTTGGAGCATCTTCATTGGGTTTTAATAGAAATAGAAAACATTTTTCCAATGTTTTGCCAAATTAGAAATTACACTGTAGTCATTTACATAGCCAATTATTTCAACAGTGAGTTAGATGGCAAATCAAGAGTGCAGTCAACCAAAAAAGGATCAGAAACTGATTCTCCTTGAGCTAAATTATGGTCGGTATATGATCAATTTTTAATACTGCTTCAAACTAGTGGTAAGACAAAATTTTAAGGGAAGGTGGAGAACAATTGTTATGGGTTAGACAGCAGGCAGTGAGATCTGCTCCTCTTACCGGTAGTGGTGCTATTATTGGATGCTGCCTGCCCATAAGGGAAGTGCTCAACTGAACATAGACCAAACCAATGTGAGGCCCAGGCAACAAGCCAGTCAGGTAGAGGTTTTTGTTGCAACCAGTAGATTTACAGTCATCTCCATCGAAATGCAGACATTACCCAGCTGCACTTGGTAGTGCAAGATACTGTAAGTTCGAATCTCACCAGGCTCAAGGTTGACTCAGCCTTCCATCCTTTCTAAGGTAGGTTAAATGAGGAGCCAGTTTGTGGGGGCAATAAGCTGACTTTGTATAAATATACAAAAGTATGAAGGCTATTGCTTAATGCATTGTAAGCCGCCCTGAGTCTCCGGAGAAGGGCAGCATATAAATAAAATTAAAAATAAATAAAAATGTTGTTTGTTGATCTGAAAAGCAGACCCTGCTTCTGTGGGAATAATGGTAGGAAGATGATAAAATGGGTTAGACAGCAATTGTTGCTTATATTGGATCTTGCTAAGAAGCTGTATATGCTAAGAGCCTTGATGGTACAGTGGTCTAAGCACCCTGTTATTAACACAGCTGCCTGCAATTACTGCTGGTTCGAATCTCTCCAAGGCTCAAGGTTGACTCAGCCTTCCATCCTTTCTAAGGTAGGTGAAATGAGGACCCAGTTTGTGGGGGCAATAATCTGACTTTGTATAAATATACAAAAGTATGAAGGCTATTGCTTAACGCATTGTAAGCCGCCCTGAGTCTCCGGAGAAGGGCGGCATATAAATCAAATTTTTTAAAAAAATGGATTCAATGCTATTCCATTTTGGGGGGTTGTCCTATTGTCTCACCTATCATCTATACATTTATTTTTGCTATCTTTCTTTGTGTGAAAGGTCCCTTAGCTGATCTGTCAAAATCAGGGCAGGGGGCTCTTGTAGGCCATTCAATTTTCTTCCAAAAATAAGATACAGAAATTTTCTAGCTCTAAGCCATGCTGCAAGCCCAACATAGCTTGCAAATGCAAGTTTGCAGAAGGTCATTTGTACCACATGAAATTAAAGAAGGAGCAACATACTTTATGTATTCTAATGCAGATAATGAGATAACAATATCTAAGTCCTTTTATTTGGTCTACATAAAATCTTAAAACCCTATGGTGGACCTTTATTTACTGTCCAAAGTTCCACATAGAGATATATTGAAAAGATGCTGAGATAAAGAAAAATTGAGCTGCCTTCATTATCTTATTTGACTGCTTAACTTGGTAATCTCAACCAGAAGTTTAAGAAATATATGTTTGAATAGGGACAACAACTTGAAGTCAAACTCACCAATAAAGGCAGCTCTAAGAGATAAATTGTCTCAAAATGATTTTATTTTTTCTTTAAAAATACTACTTCATAGATTTAAAAGAAGCAAATACTATTTTCACCAGGGCTTCTCTTGAGTATTACTGGACCATCACAGAACAGAGACCTCTAGCTTGCTTCTGCACAAAGTCCAACATTCAAAACTGCTCAACAGTATTTTTAATAAGCTAAAATAAGAACTTCTTCCATATTACCAAGAACGTGAAGCTTCCATATAACTCAAAGTATAAATCTTAGTAGATTCTACTTCTATTCCAGTTACCACCTGACCTGAGTTACCTGAGCCATTCAGAATTCATTAGGCATCACACTCATCTTTTTACCCTTTTTGCCTCCCATTTTTCTCTTCCAAAGTCCTTGGATTGATATTACAATAATACATTCAAGTCTTCTAGCTGTCACTTCTGCACCCTGTAGCTGTTGCAAGAGAAAGTGGTTTCTCAGCTCTACTGCCAAAAGGCGTCCTTCTCCAAGGCCATAGTTTATCCCGGGCTTGAAGAACAGAAAGCTTCCTCCTGTTTATTGTCTTAGAAAAAGCTTCAGGTACATTAGGTAGATTTGCCAATGTCTTCTCAGCTGGCTTCAGTTAAGCTGTCAATGTAGTTCTTCAGCAGACATTCATAGTAGTCTCCAATCTTTCTCAGGTTAGCTCGTAGTGCTGAGCTCATTGCTTCTATCATGCAGGGTTCCTTTTCCACCAGCATGATGGCTATTACTCCAAAGTTGAGAAGGACCTGCAGGTAGGCCTAAAGTGAAAGACCAAGTTCCATCAGGCCAATGAACAAGCAATGTATTTTTAAGACCACCCTACTGAATACCCTGTCTATAATTATTGGGGCAGTGGCAATGATCAGAAGCGCATAAAACGGGGGGAAACCAGTGGTGAAATCAAATTTTTTTACTATCGGTTCTGTGGGCAAGACTTGGTAGGCGTGGCTTGGTACGCGTGGCAGGGGAAGGATACTGCAAAATCTCCATTTCCACCCCACTCCAGGGGGAAGGATACTGCAAAATCTCCATTCCCACCCCACTCCAGGGAGGATATTGCAAAATCTCCATTCCCACCCCACTCTGGGGCCAGCCAGAGGTGGTATTTGCCAGTTCTCCGAACTGCTCAAAATTTTTGCTACCGGTTCTCCAGAACCTGCTGGATTTCACCTCTGGGGGAAACAGACCTAATAATAGATGAAAGTAAATATGTATTATTTGTTTTTAAAAGCTTCAAAGTAGAGAATGCACAAAGCATCCATGTTTGCAAATTTTTGTCCTTGTTTTTTTCGCTGGAATAAACTGGATATGATATGCATTTGGATAGTAGCAGTATTATTTCAAATGATTAGCATTCAGATGAATCTGCTGAACCACAATGAATTCAGTATATAGGTAACACATGGGGTGTCACAGCCCCATCCACATTTGGAACATCACTGAGCTCACCTATGGATGTAACACTGAAAATATATGCTGATTGGGCAGAAAAGATAAATTCTTTGAAACAAAGGTTGTCAACTAGATTCTGAAAGTTATTCTTTTAAAGCAGGGGTGGCAGAGCTGGGCCTTCTGAAAAACCTCTTCTAGGAGCCACAGTTCATGGCCAACTGTGGAAATGTTGATGATCATTGTTCAGCAACTTCTGGAGTATTAAAGGCAGGTGTATTGAGTAAGAAAGATGACCTTGAATGAAACATGCAATATCACCTGCATATTTTCATCAGGGTCATCTTCCTTTCCTATTCACTATAAACAAACCATGAATTCTCAGAATCTAATTTACAAATTAGGATTTAGGGTTCGTAACATGTGCTTATGTTCCCTGATTCTGTAGTTCTTGTTTATAGTCTCAGCTACAGTACAAATGGCTTGAAAATAAATAAACAAATGCAAAGAAGCCCAATCTTTAAGCAGGCAGTTGAAATGCACAAGCTAAGTCCTCCGACTCCAAAACTAGTTTTCTGAGGTCGTCTTCTTTCTTTCCTCTCTACCATTTCTTTTTGTTATCTTCATCCAGTGGTGGGTTTCAAATTTTTTTACTACCGGTTCTGTGGGTGTGGCTTGGTGGGCATGGCAGGGGAAGGATACTGCAAAATCCTCATTTCCTCCTGATCAGCTGTGACTCGGGAGGCAGAGAATAGATGGGGGTGGGGCCAGTCAGAGGTGGTATTTATCAATTTTCCGAACTACTCAAAATTTTTGCTACTGGTTCTCCAGAACTGGTCAGAACCTGCTGAAACTCACCTCTGTCTTCATCAGTCATGTTTGGGAACCAGTGGGGAAGCTTCTCCTTACCTGTTCAAGCTCTTCTTTTCTTGCCAGCACTGCTGCAGATCGGTCTTTAGGAGTCCAGGATGGGACTGAAGAATTAGTTTCTTCTTCAGCATTAAGGTGGCAAGGAGAGCTTGTTTTCTTCTTTTTTGTTGATGACTGTATCAATAAATTTCCCAATGAGATTTGTAGTTAACAAGGCTAACAACAGCCTCCCCAATTTAAAGAAACTCCTGCTGCAAAGCGTTGCGTAAAAGTATGTAAAAAATATTCATATTTTGTATACTTAGGAAAAAGGTGGTCTATAATAAGGAGGTCTGTAGTAAGGAGATATAGTAATCTGAGGGGTCCTTAATCTTCAGACCAACAATCAAGTAAGCAATACCCCAATCAAGAAACTGCCAAAGAGCCATCAGTAAACCGCCAAATCACAAAGAATCCCTAAGGCCACCCCCACCCACACAGACAGGCAAGACATCAGAATATAAACTGACAATAAGCAGCCCTCCTTACTAGAACTGGTGATGTTACCTAGTTAGGGTAATGAAATGTTTGCAAGAAAACAAGCAAGCTCAGGGAGCACCAAGAGTCCCCCGTTTCAACTATAAGCTACAAATAGTCTCCTTTGTCGATATAATAATTTTGCTGCAAAATAGATCTAACTTTCTAGTATAAGTGGTCCTTGAGTTATGACTGTAAGAAAGCCTGCACATTAGGGTTGAAAGTCAGGACAAATGTTAAATGAACTGCCTCAAGTAATGACCAGCCATCTCTGCTCTTTCCAATGCATTTGTTAAATGAACAGACAGTTCTCTAAGTGCAGCATGGGATGCCGGGGGAGATCCAGGAAGGCCTAGTGCAGGCAGAAACTGACTTGCCTTGGGCCTCCCAAGGCTTCCCCCATCTCAAGATACCCTGTGTTCTGCTTCCCATCTCTCAAGTGGCTCTCACTGAACAGTAAACAGCTGTTTTGCCAGCAAGAAACAAGGGGGAAGGAAAACACTGGGCTCCCCTGTCTTTCTTGGTCCTGCCACTGCCCTTCGTCCTGCCAAGTTGCCCCTGCCTTTCTGGTGCCCAAAAAGAACCAGTTCCCTAGCCTTTGAGAGCTTGCTGCGGGTTAGAGAAATGAAGCTCAGATCTTTGGAATCTGAGCTTTGTTTCTCCAGCCCAGCACAAGAATTCTGTTCCATGCATGGAGGGGAAATCCTTTTGCTGATGGCAGCAGCTTGCAACCTTCCCTGCTGGCTTCCCCACTGACTTTCTGGGGAATTCAATAGAGAAGACTGTTAAATGGAGATCACATGATTGTGGGGCGCTTGACAACCGATTGTGAATGGTTGCCAAGCATCCGGATCACAATCATGTGACTAGGGGAGGGAGCAGCAGGATGTTTTATGAGAACTGGAAATGCTTTATGGACTGTAAAGGATCCTTTCTGAGATGTTTTAACTTTGAATAGTCGTTAAATGACCAGTTATAAGTCAAGGACCTGTATTGGGAGAAACTAAATGTAAATTAAAGGGAATTTTTGGATGTTAACTTTCACTGACAATTGTGCAAATGAACTAATTTGAATGATGTACAATACTTAATCTCATCATTCCTGTGATGACGTTATGACATGTGACAACATTCTCCTTTACTCCCCACAGATGTCTTGCATACATATGAATGTTCACACAATCAAAAACATGTATATAATTAAGATATGGCTTATTTCACATAACATCTGGAAATATGTATTATAAATTACCTTCAAAGCCTTTCTTCCAGTCTTTGATGTTGCTCTTTTTTTCTTTTTAATTACTGGTATCTTAGGTTCCACCACTTGTCTGCTCTCTATTATTTCCTTTTCATTCTATAGGCCCAGAAGGAGAAAAGATTGTGTCAGGATCCAAAAGGGAAGTACTGAGATAATACCAGAAAGCCACTTGTCTTTAAAAAAATGGAGCAGTGTATTTTCCACTGACATTTATTGCCCAGTCAAGATAAGTAAATAAAATTAAAAAGATATTTAGCTGTATGAAAAAATTTAGATATCACTGGTTAAATTATATGCTTCAGAGAAAGGTTTTGGAATGGACTTCATAGTCTCCAGATTTGAATATTACTGCAACTTGTGGGAGGATTTCAAACATGCAGCAGACATGAGGAGTCCTAAGCATATTTCTGAGCTAGAGAGTTTCTTGTTCTGTAAGGAAGAATAGTAAAAAAACCAAAAACACACAAAACAAATGAAAATAAACAAACCTTTCAAAGGCAGAATAAAAAGACACTTAACTGCTTATAAGAAATGTTTAGAAGCTAATACTTCTCCCAAAAAAGATGTTATAAAGGGTGTTCAGACTTTTACACCTACATATTCTCTCTCTTCTAAACAACTGCACATAAATAGCAAGATTGCATTTAGATTTGCAGAAAAATATGTTCACTATGCACCATATGGAAATTTGTCAGCATATGTTCACCTACAGATTTATTGAAATGACAAATTTAACTTAATTATTTGCATACAAGTGTAAGGATATGTGAAGAAAGGCAGCTAGGTTGCTGTGGCTGGCAATTATAGGAGTTGCAATACTACTAAAGTATAAATTATTCACCCTGTTGTCCCAACCCAATACTGGTGTAAGCTATCCCATCCCTTGATGTCCCTAGACAGCATGCCTGCAGCCCGGAACCAACTTTAACAACTTGCACATTTGTTTAATGATTGCATTAGGGAGAGCAGGGATGGGCATCGTTAAGTGAAGTGTTTCATTTAATGGCCATCCCTGCCCAACCTTAATGGACAGACTCCATTATTGTTGTAAATCAAAGACTACCTGTTTTCAGCAAAACTATTCCTAACCTGTACATAAGGCTAACCACAATATTTCTATATATTCCATAACTTCTTCCAGTGAGTGTCCATTTCTGGGATCCATATTTAGCTATAATATATTCAAACATTTCCTGTTTGTGCCTTATGCCTTGTCTCATAGTAGATTTGGAGTTACATTTTCACAAGCTAAACACTATGCCTTGTTCTAAAATTTAAGTTTTGTTGAATTTTTATTGATGATTTTTATTGAAGTTTTTGGCAGGATTTGAGCTCCCTCTACCAGTCCTATAATAATTTACATGGCCAATTGTATGGATGTGGATGTGGAATGTAACGAAAAAATTATATACATTTTGGGATCATGTAATTGTCTTAATATGTGAGTGAAGAATGAATAGACATTTGTAGCAAGTGGTTGTAAGGAACCAATTGGCCCGGGCAGACTAAACAGCACTTGTACAGTACAGATATTGTACAAATGCTACAGCTGAACAGCAGAATCACTCTGTCCTGTTTGTTAATCAAACAAACTATGGTTACAACAATGCACTCCAAAGACATCTGGATAGCATTGGGACGCAGGTAATTCCACTGGGAGATATGTTTAGTTAATAACAGCAAACTATAACAATATTAAACCTAGTGTTTATCTATACTAATTATCCAGTACATAATGAATAATTAAGTATCCAGTTTCCCAGAATGATTTTTATGGTGAGATAATTTCCTGGAAGGGTAAATTAATAACAATTTACAAGCATGCGGAATGAATGTAGGAAAAAAAAGAATACTTAATATTAAATGTATTAGTAATCATGCAATAGACACATGAAAATAGGTAATAGAACTCAAATGTCAAAAGATAAATCAAATATAAACAATGTATGTGATTGTTATCAAATAAATTTCCAGGAGATTCCTGAATTAGATAAGTGAAATATTAATTGCACCCTAGTAGCTTTCTCCTACACCAGGGTCTCCTACCAACTTTGCCTCTCCTAGGGGCAAGAGAGAAGAAAATGAGAAAAATTGGGCTGGATACCCAAGAATTAATATAATCTCTATATGAATTCCTAAAGAAGACAGTCTGAATTTCCTTTCATCGTAACGGAAGAGATGGGAATACACTTTCATTTTTGCATCATCTCTTCTGGTATGATATAATTTACTAGTTTCTCTTCACCCTCTCATCTAGCATGGTCAGTAGCAGAATAAAACCATATTCTCTTACCGCAATAGACCTCTCGGGAGAAAGGTGGTATGGCATTCCATAGACGTTTCTTATATCTGTGAAATAAAAACAAAATCAGAAACAGATTATTATTTTCTCCATAGAGATGCTTGGTTTTCTGTTCCAAGACCAAAACAATACAAATGCAAACAATGAAGGAGAAAACAATATGAGTGATATAAAATAAAAAATAAAATAAAATAAAATACTGGTTGGTCTAGTAATTAAGGCACTGGGCTAGAAAACAGGAGATTGTGAATTCAAATCCCACCTTAGCCATGAAAGTCAGCTGGGTGACTTTGGGTCAGTCGCTCTCTCCCAGCCCAACCCAACTCACAGGGTTGTTGTTGTGGGGGAAATAGGAGGAAGGTGTGTTGTATATGTTCACCACCTTGAGTTATTTCAGGGGCGAAATGCTCCCGGTTCGGACCGGTTCAGGAGAGTAGGTAGCGATGGCGGCGGGCAGTTCGGAGAACTGGTAGAAAAAATCCCTGCCCCCGCCCCCCTAAACCCAGCTGAGCCGCGTGATCATCAGAGGCTTTTTTTCTTTTAAATGCCTCTGACGAGCCAACCTTTGATGATCCCAGATGAGTTGCCTGCCAATCAGGCAACTCAGCTTGGATCGTCAGAGCCATTTAAAAGAAAAGAAGTTTTTTTCTTTAAAATGGCTCTGACCATCCAAGCTCTGACGATCCCAGCTGAGTTGCCTGATCAGCAGAGGGTTTTTTAAAAACCCTCTGATGATCAGGCAACTCAGCTGGGATCGTCAGAGCCTTTTGAAAGCATTTTTTTACATGGTTTTACATGTAAAAAATGGTTTTAAAAGTAAAAAAAAAATTGGCCACACCCACCCAGTCACATTACCCCCCCAAGCCACGCCCACAGAACCAGTAGTAACAAATTTTAGATCTCACCACTGAGTTATTTGTAAAAATTATAAAGGCACAGTATAAATCAGTGGTGAAATCCCAATTTTTTTACTACTGGTTCTGTGGGCGTGGCTTGGTGGGCATGGTGTGGCTTGGTGGGCATGGCAGGGGAAGGATACTGCAAAATCTCTATTCCCACTCCACCTGGGGCCAGCCAAAGGTGGTATTTGCCGGCTCTCCGAACTACTCAAAATTTCCGCTACCAGTTCTCCAAACTGCTCAAAATTTCTGCTCCCGGTTCTCTAGAATCTGTTGGAACCTGCTGGATTTCACCCTTGGTATAAATTAAATTAAATTAAATTAAAGTCATATATCCTTCCATATAATTTTGGAAATCTCTATCCAAAAAGATATTCAACAGGGGCCAACTATTAGCTTTGTTCTTCATTTACCCTGTTTCCCCAAAATAAGGCATCCCCTGATAAAGCCCAATCGAGCTTTTGAGCGCATGGCAATAAGGCCAAGAGCTTATTTCAGGGTTCAAAAAAATACACTGCTCAAAAAAATAAAGGGAACACAAAAATAAGACATCCTAGATCTGAATGAATGAAATATTCTTAGTAAATACTTTGTTCATTACATAGTTGAATGTGCTGACAACAAAATCACACGAAAATTATCATTGGAAATCAAATTTATCAACCCATGGAGGTCTGGATGTGGAGTTACACTCAAAATTAAAGTGGAAAAAAACACTACAGGCTAATCCAACTTTGATGTAATGTCCTTAAAACAAGTCAAAATGAGGCTCAGTAGTGTGTGTGGCCTCCACCTGCCTGTATGACCTCCCTACAACACCTGGGCATGCTCCTGATGAGGTGGCGGATGGTCTCCTGAGGGATCTCCTCCCACACCTGGACTAAAGCATCCCTCAACTCCTGGACAGTCTGTGGTGCAATGTGGCGTTGGTGGATGGAGCGAGACATGATGTCCCAGATGTGCTCAATTGGATTCAGGTCGGGGAAACAGGCGGGCCAGTCCATAGCACCAATGCCTTTGTCTTGCAGGAACTGCTGACACACTCCAGCCACATGAGGTCTAGCATTTGCATGCATTAGGTGGAACCCAGGGCCAACCACACCAGCATATGGTCTCACCAGGGGTCTGAGGATCTCCTCTCAGTACCTAATGGCAGTCAGGCTACCTCTGGAGAGCACATGGAGGGCTGTGCGGCCCCCCAAAGAAATGCCACCCCACACCATTACTGACCCACTGCCAAACCGGTCATGCTGGAGGACGTTGCAGGCAGCAGCATGCTCTCCACGGCATCTCCAGACCCTGTCACGTCTGTCATATGTGCTCAGTGTGAACCTGCTTTCATCTGTGAAGAGCACAGGGCGCCAGTGGCGAAGTTGCCAGTCTTGGTGTTCTCTGGCAAATGCCAAACGTCCTGCATGGTGTTGGGTTGTAAGCACAACCCCCACCTGTGGACGTTGGGCCCTCATACCACCCTCATGGAGTCTGTTCCTGACCGTTTGAGCAGCCACATGCACATTTGTGGCCCGCTGGAGATCATTTTGCAGGGCTCTGGCAGTGGTCCTCCTGTCCCTCCTTGCACAAAGGCGGAGGTAGCGGTCCTGATGCTGGGTTGTTGTTGCCCTCCTACAGTCTCCTGATGTACTGGCCTGTCTCCTGGTAGCGCCTCCATGTTCTGGACACTACGCTGACAGACACAGCAAACCTTCTTGCCACAGCTCGCATTGATGTGCCATCCTGGATGAGCTGCACTACCTGAGCCACTTGTGTGGATTGTAGACTCCATCTCATGCTACCACTAGAGTGACAGCACCGCCGACATTCAAAAGTGACCAAACCATCAGCCAGAAAGCATAGGAACTGAGAAGTGGTCTGTGGTCACCACCTGCAGAACCATTCCTTTATTGGGGATGTCTTGCTAACTGCCTATGCTTTCCACCTGTTGTCTATTCCATTTGCACAACAGCATGTGAAATTGATTGTCAATCAGTGTTGCTACCTAAGTGGACAGTTTGATTTCACAGAAGTGTGATTGACTTGGAGTTACATTGTGTTGTTTAAGTGTTCCCTTTATTTTTTTGAGCAGTGTATAAGACAGGGTCTTATTTTCGGGGAAACATGGTACAAAGTTCTTTTCCAAAATATAATCATATCCCCATGGAAGGAAGCATTTCTTCATAAAAAGTTCAGTCAATCTAAAGAATTCATTACAAGATGTAGTTATTCCTGCTAACATAGAAAGGCATTTCAATAAACTCATGGCACATGCCTTTCAGTTTGCTTGATAATTTTTGGGCTTCCTATGGGCATCTCATTGGCCACTTCTATTAACTTAATATTAAGCTCCACCATAGTTTTCCTTTTGGAGATCACATTATCACAAAAAAAGCAATTATAACCTCTGTTTGAAGTTTAGAGAAAAAGCTAACCCACAATAATTTGTTAAGTAACTATCCTAAAGGTGCTAAAACTCAGTCCCTTCAAGGAGAACAGATTAGGTCACATTCAGAGCTATTTCTGACATAAAATTCTCAGGAAAAGCAAACCTTTGGAAACATTGAGGTGCTCTGTTTTACAAGTTAAGTAAGCAGGAGAGCCACTTCTGTGCCACAAACTCTCTTGGGGTGGACTGCAGCTCTGTTGACAGTGGTAATAGCAATGGCAGCAACAACTTCTTCCCAACTTTTTCTCTTTCCACCTGAAGCAGGAGAAAAGGACTCGCTTGAGCAGCAGAAACCTTCTGCCTCAATTCAACCTCAGGAATCTGACTCAACTAATATATCACATTTAAAACTCAATGTACTGATTAAGAATGTAAGATTAAGTCTTACTCTCACAAACTAAAAACAAACATATTCACTGGTTAAAGACATATGCCACCTGAATGAAGTACTAATGGCTCAATGGGGAGGACAAAATGCAGTGAAGAAATGAAGTAAAAAAGTCTGAGGGCAAAGTTGGTGCTTATGTGGAAATGTCTGTATCTCAGTCTGATGCCCACTAGAACATTCTTTAAGAGCTGAATATATCCACCTATTATTTCCTTTTTGTTATGAGAATTCCTGCTTTTTCATGGTCCTTTTCTTAATTTGTCCTATCCATGTGGCCTTACTTTTTCTTACTTGCCTGATTCCTTAAAAAAATATACACAATTAGCTATCCAAAGTACCTATCCAGCTTCTGAGATTTTGAATTTTGTTTCCTTTTTGGAGGAGAATTTGAACTACGCTTTCGCTTGCATGTTGACTTCACACCATGTTCTTGCATGAGAGAGGTTTTTGGGCTACAGTCTCGTTTCTGAGAAGACTGTTCTTGTCTGTAAGGAGATTTTGATGTATGCTTTTCTCTTTGAGGAGAGTCTTCTTGTTTGTGGGAAGATCCTGAACGATGTCCTTGCCTACAGGATAATTTTGAACTTCTGCCCTGTCTTTCAGTGGACAGGTCTTGCTTGCCAGAAGATCTTGAGTTACACTCTTGCCTGACGTAGGATCTTGGACTTTGGCAACATAAGTCTCTTGAGGTCTGATTTGTACTAGAATGTTTGGAATTGATGCTGTGATAAATATTTGGAGAACTAGACGTGGATTTTACCAAGCTTTCAATATTATGTTTTCCATTAGAAGAAATAGAAGTAGACACCTGAAAAGAGAATGAAACCATACAATAAAGAAAACAATTCTCTCTTTTTCTATTCTGAAATATACTGAGATCATCCTCTCATTTTTTCCAAATAACAGACTCTGCAAACTATAGGAGTTGTATATATATCTAGAGGGGGCCAAGTTGGAGATGCTTTAAAGTGTCAAGGTAGGTCTTTCTTTTTCTTGGAAGCAACTTTTTCCCCTCCTCTCTATAACCCTCATTCGCTCTTCACTCATATCCCACACCCAGTTTCCCCCCTCCCCATACTAACAATTATTTTCATTATGATCAGAATCAACTTACTGAGTCTTTGTAACATTCAGACACTTTAAGATATTGGTCAGCTTGGTTCACATTCCAGGGTGGCTCCTGATAATCTTCAGGTGCCCATGCTCCCTGATTTTCAGCCTGTTGTTGTGGGGAAAATAGGAAGAAGTTGTGTTGGATATGTTCACTACCTTGAGTTATTTGTATTTGACGGGGAATGAATGAATGATTGAACGAATGAATGAATGAAAAGGAACAGCTTCCCAAGTGTATGACTAGAGATAAATGAAATAAAACACATGAATTAGGACAACAAATGGAGGTGGAGGACACACCGAATAATCTTTTATCGCTTTCTGCCTTCCATATATGTTTAAACTTCAACTAATTCCCGGGGAATTAGCTTTCTTGGAGACTTTCTGACATAAAAGTAACTGAACAGCCAACATTCCTATAGTCAAACATAAATTCAAAATTCAAAATTGAACCTACCTATATTTTCAAGGAAAATGTATGCAAATATTCCCATTCTTACCAATCCAGTAACATTTCTTCTCACTAGCACAGGTACACAGTGAATATCATTCAGGGTACTTGGAAGGCTGGAAGAATCGAGAGCTGGAACAACATCAGCTTGAGAATCATCTGTATCATTCTGCTTAGATGAAGTTTCAGTCTACATCAATTTAAAATAAAATGGAGATTAGAACATTTTGGGAAGCAGATTTTCAGACATAAGAGGAACTGAACAACCAAAATTCCTGTACTCAAAAATAAATTCCAGATTCCAAATTGAACGTACTTAATTTCCATGGAAAATATATACAAAGAGCTTTCCCTTTCTTACCAATCCAATAACGTTTCTTCTCACTAGCACAGGTACACAGTGAATATCATTGAGGGTACTTGGAAGGCTGGAAGAATCAAGAGCTGGGGCAATATCAGCTTGAGAATCATCTGTATCATTCTGCTTAGTTGAAGTTTCAGTCTACATCAATTTAAAACAAAATGGAGATTAGAACATTTTGGGAAACAGATTTTCAGACATAAGAGGAACTGAACAACCAAAATTCCTGTAATCACAAATAAATTCCAGATTCCAAATTGAATGTACTTATATTTCCAAGGAAAATATATACAAACAGCTTTCCCATTCTTACCAGTCCAGTATCTTTTCCTCTCACTGGGACAGGCTCACAGTGAACATCATTAAAGGTACTTGGAAGGCTGGAAGAATCGAGATCTGGAGCAACATAAGCTTGAGAATCATCTGCATAATTCTGCTTGGCTGAAGTTTCAGTCTACATCAATTTAAAACAAAATAGAGATTAGAAAATTTTCGAAAGCAGATTTTCAGATATAAGAGGAATTGAACAACCAAAATTCCTGTACTCAAAAATAAATTCCAGATTCCAAATTGAACGTACTTAATTTCCATGGAAAATATATACAAAGAGCTTTCCCTTTCTTACCAATCCAATAACGTTTCTTCTCACTAGCACAGGTACACAGTGAATATCATTGAGGGTACTTGGAAGGCTGGAAGAATCGAGAGCTGGAGCAACATCAGCTTGAGAATCATCTGTATCATTCTGCTTAGTTGAAGTTTCAGTCTACATCAATTTAAAACAAAATGGAGATTAGAAGATTTCGGGAAACAGATTTTCAGACATAAGAGGAACTGAACAACCAAAATTCCTGTAATCACAAATAAATTCCAGATTCCAAATTGAATGTACTTATATTTCCAAGGAAAATATATACAAACAGCTTTCCCATTCTTACCAGTCCAGTATCTTTTCCTCTCACTGGGACAGGCTCACAGTGAACATCATTAAAGGTACTTGGAAGGCTGGAAGAATTGAGATCTGGAGCAACAACATAAACTTGAGAATCATCTGCATAATTCTGCTTGGCTGAAGTTTCAGTCTACATCAATTTAAAACAAAATAGAGATTAGAAAATTTTCGAAAGCAGATTTTCAGATATAAGAGGAATTGAACAACCAAAATTCCTGTACTCAAAAATAAATTCCAGATTCCAAATTGAACGTACTTAATTTCCATGGAAAATATATACAAAGAGTTTTCCCTTTCTTACCAATCCAATAACGTTTCTTCTCACTAGCACAGGTACACAGTGAATATCATTGAGGGTACTTGGAAGGCTGGAAGAATCGAGAGCTGGAGCAACATCAGCTTGAGAATCATCTGTATCATTCTGCTTAGTTGAAGTTTCAGTCTACATCAATTTAAAACAAAATGGAGATTAGAACATTTTGGGAAACAGATTTTCAGATATTAGTTGAATTGAACAACCAAAATTCCTGTAGTTACAACTAACTGCCAGATTCCAAATTGAACGTACTTATATTTCCAAGAAAAATATAAACAAAGGTTTTTCCCATTCTTACCAATTCGTTATCTTTCTCTCTCACTAGCACAGGCTCACAGTGAACATCATTGAGGGTATTTAGAAGGTTGGAAGAATCAAGAGCTGGAGCAACAACATAAACTTGAGAATCATCTGCATCATTCTGCTTAGCTGAAGTTTCAGTCTACATCAATTTAAAATAAAATGGAGATTAGAACATTCTGGGAAGCAGATTTTCAGACATAAGAGGAATTGAACAACCAAAATTCCTGTAGTCACAAATAAATTCCAGATTCCAAATCGAATACTTATATTTCCAAGGAAAATATAAACAAAAGTTTTTCCCATTCTTACCAATTCATTATCTTTTCCTCTCACTAGGACAGGGTCACAGTGAACATCATTGAAGGTATTTATAAGGTTGGGAGAATCAAGAGCTGGAGTAACAACGTAAGTTTGAGAATCATCTGTATCATTTTGCTTGGCTGAAGTTTCAGACTACAATTTAAAATAAAATGGAGATTAGAACATTCTGGGAAGCAGATTTTCAGACATAAGAGGAATTGAACAACCAAAATTCCTGTAGTCACAAATAAATTCCAGATTCCAAATTGAATGTACTTATATTTCCAAGGAAAATATAAACAAAAGTTTTTCCCATTCTTACCAATTCATTATCTTTTCCTCTCACTAGGATAGGGTCACAGTGAACATCATTGAAGGTATTTAGAAGGTTGGAAGAATCAAGAGCTGGAGCAACAACGTAAGTTTGAGAATCATCTGTATCATTTTGCTTGGCTGAAGTTTCAGACTACAATTTAAAACAAAATGGAGATTAGAACATTCTGGGAAGCAGATTTTCAGACATAAGAGGAATTGAACAACCAAAATTCCTGTAGTCATAACTAACTTTCAGATTTTAAATTGAGCGTACTTATATTTCCTAGGAAAATATGTACAAAGATTTTTCCCATTCTTACCAATTCATTATCTTTTTCTCTCACTAGGACAGGCTCATAGTGAACATCAGTGAGGGTACTTGGAAGGCTGGAAGAATCAAGAATTGGAGCAACACAAGTTTGATAGTGATCTGTATCATTCTGCTTGGCTGAAGTTTCAGTCTACGTCAATTTAAAACAAAAGCGGAATTAGAATATTTTGGGAAGCAAAATGAATGGATCTGTTACTACACAGACCTGGATCATCGATTTGCTCAGTTTGAGGATCATTGTTCATCCCCTTTAAGAATTTACTTCTTTGTATGTCCTTTCAATTCCTGCATGCTTTCAATCTCAATGACATACATTTCTTCTCTAGAGTGAAACATTTGGTTCAGGTGTATTCTGCAGAGGCCAACTGAAATGCAAAGCTGTGTTACAGGTATGACTTTCATAATAAAATAATCAGCTGGTCTACAAACTAATTGTTTGAGTCTTCTCTGATCAAGTAACTTCTGCAAAAGCCTTATAATGTTTGTAAAAACAGTACACTGCTTTCATGATGAAAAATATGGATCAGGAGGGAATGGGCAACAGGCTTAAATAGTAGAAATACCACTTAATTTATCCAGGTATATTAATAAATCAGTTACATACAGCATCTAATTAATCATTTTTCTATATTAGTTTTACAAGATAAATCATAAGCCTTTTGTCTAAGGAAGACATGGATGATTTATTCTAACCAGGGACATACTTTTCAATAAAATCAGATTCCAGGATGCAATTTCCGTCAATCTTTTTCTTTTTAATAAAGTTTTTTATTATAAATTAGAAACAAAAAACAGAAAGAAGACTATAACGAAACACAATCACATACGTACGACTGAGGTTGATTCAACCCCCATATATATACAGTTTCTAAATAACTTCACATATCATCATACTACATATTCAATTTGGTTTTTCATACTGCATCTTGCATTTGTTAATCTTCTTATATCTAATATAACCTTATTTATATTTAACTTGCTATTTACATATCTATGCTACATGCTTCCCTAACATCTGCCTCATGACATTTTTACTTCTATCCATTGGTACCATTTATCGCAGCTTTGATTGAAAGTTGATTCTTGTCCATCTTAAAGAATATACGTTAGTCTATCACATTCTGCACACCACAAAATTTTGTTGATAATCATCTGATCCGATGGTACTTCTTTCCCTTTCCAAAGTTGCGCATATGCAATTCTAGCCGCAGTGCAATTTCCGTCAATCTTTTGAGAAGTAGTGAGGAAATATTTTAAAACAGTCTTTCTCAACCTTTGCAAGTTGAAGATGGGTGGACTTCAACTCCTAGAATTCCCCTGCAGCAAAGCAAGGGAACTAAAGTCCACCCATCTTCAACTGGCCAAAGTTGAGAAACTCTGTTTTAAAATACAAAATATTTTACTGGTATTTAACTGGTATATTTCACAAATTAAAATATATTTTATAACTGGTAAGATAATAACTTAATAATAAGCCAAATATGATCTTCTTGATGTTGTCTAACCCACATAAATCCTATTCAATGTGACCAAAGACAAGGAAATATCTGCATTAAAGATTGTGAGTTAAGAGTGGTAGCAAGAGCTTTAATATTTTAAGTGAATCTTAATTTTCTGTCTTCAAGTTGGAAGGCATGAAGATAAAATTTCAACAACTTGAGTGCAGAATGAATGCTGTTCTTGCTGGGTTGTCTTCATCATTCTGAAGGCTTCTATTTATGTTGCATTTTACCTGCCATAATTCACAGCCATTGATCCTAAACTCTTTAATCAAACACATCTGGAGAGCATAGGCTTGTGGAAGAGGTACAGGTAGTCCTCAACCTACAACCATTTGTTTAGTGACCATTTGTTTACAGCAGCACTGAAAAAAGCAGACTTAGAACTGCTTTTCACACTTATGACCGTTGCAGCATCCCTATGGTCATGTGGTCAAAATTCAAACACTTTGCAACTGCCATATATTTATGACAGTTGCACTGTCCTATGTCAGGTGATCACAGTTTGTAACCTTCCCAACTTTGCTTAAAGAAGCAAATTTAATGGAGTAAGCCAGACCTGCTTAACAACTGGAGTGATTCATTTAATAACTGTGGCAAAAATATCGTGAAATGGGGCGCAACTCACTTAACAACATCTTGCTTAGCAATGAAAATTTTGGACACAATTGTAGTTTTAAATCAACACCTACCTGTAGTCTCAAAACAAAGATATTTGACATGTTTAATTTGCCAATTACACAGATATTGAAAGATGAATGAGAAGTCAAGCATATTTTATATCAATTCTTGTCCAAATCTGTGCAAAAGATTTTTCTCTGAGTTTGAGAACATAAACTGGCTCCAAAACAGTAACTGTGAGAGGGACCTTGGAGTTTTTAGGGGACGATCACTTAAACATGAGTCAGCAGTTTATAAAGCCTTGGTAAGACCACATCTGGAATACTGCATCCAGTTTTGGTCACCATATTACAAAAAAGATGTTGAGAACTTTGGAAACAGTGCAAAGAAGAGCAACAAAGATGATTAAAGGCCCGAAGGCTAAAACATATGAAGAACAGTTGAAGGATTTGGCTTCGGCTAGTCTAGAAAAAAGAAGAACTAGGGGAGATATGATAGCAGTATTCCAGTATTTGAGAGGCTGCCACAAAGAAAAGGGGGTCAATTTATTTTCCAGAGGGCAGGACAAGAAACAATAGATGGAAACTAATCAAGGAGAGAAGCAACCTGGAATTGAGGAGAAACTTCCTAACAGTGAGGACAATTAGCCAATGGAACAGCTTGCCTTCAGACCTTGTGGGTGCTTCATCACTGGAAGTTTTTAAGAAGAGACTGGACACCCACTTGTCTGAAATGGTATAGGCGGAGGGTTGAACTAGAAACCTCCAAGGTCCCTTCCAGCTCTATTCTGATTCAACAAATACAGTATTCATTGGTATAGTTCAAGGGAGATCTCTCACTTAGAAATCTAGGTACAAGTGATGCAGAAACACAGCAGCAGAATGTAATTTAAAATGCTTTAAAATGGACCCTGCAATGTGTTCTTCAATATGATTAGAGCAACTTGTTGTTTAAACTTGTCCAGTAAAGTTAGCTCTTCATTAAAAATCTGTATTAAGACTGCCCACCCAGGGATTACTTCAAGTCATGGCAACCTGTACTCATAGAAGGGAACAAACAAAATAACCAGCCTCACAAACATAGACCAGTGAAAAACAAAAAGTGCAAACTTATGAAAGTACTCCCTGATTCTTTAGCAAATAAGTAACTGAATGTAAACATCTCTGACAACAAAGAAAAGTTATGTTACTTATTTAGACTAACATGTCATGAAAAAACAATTCCTTAACAAAATAAAGGAAGCATTCATACCAATACAGAATCTTTCTCCTCAATGTCTTGAAGGACTTCTGTGCTACAAGATGATGTTTTATCTTCTGTGGATACTCCAGGAGACAAAATAGAGACAGTCTGACTGAGAAGATCTTCAGTGGCCTCACAATCTTCCAGTTTATCCTGAAGTTGGTTTTTTTTTTTAAGGAAAAAAAATAAGAACCAGTTTAATGCTAACCAAGCTTAACAAAGAAGACTTGAAGAAAAACTATTTCTATATCACAAGATACGGTACATTACTATTTGGAAATACTTTTTTTTCCTTTTTACCCTTTAATACAGACTTGGAGGCCCTCCTGGATGTGGAACTCTTGCTTGAACAGTAGCTAGAAGTTGTGGTTAAGGGAAACTTTTGCTCAGCTTTAAGTGATATTTTAATTATGACCCCACTTGGATCAGAATGCTTTACTCCAGTGATGGCTAACCTTTTTGCCATCGCGTACCAGGAGGGGGGGCGAGGGAGGGTCACGCGTGCACGTGCCCATGTACGCAACAACCCCCCCCCGCTCCTGGCACATGATGGCCTGGTAGGCCCGTTTTTCTTTCTTACCTGGTTCCAGATCCTCTCTATTTATCTGGGAAGGGCGAAAACAGCCTTTTTCACTCTCTTGGAGGCCGTCCAAAGGCCTGAAACGGCCCATTTCCCAACTCCCGGTGGGACAGGAAGTGACATTTTTTGCTGACCTCAGCCTCCAGAGCCTCTCTAGGAGTCTCTAGGAGCCTCTCTAGGAGTCTCTGGAGGCTGGGGACAGCAAAAAACATCACTTCCTGCCCCACCGGGAGTCAGGAAATGGGCCCTTTCAGCCTCTGTAGGGCCTCCAAAGGAGTGGGAAAGGCTGTTTTCGCCCTTCTCAGATGCATAGAGAGGATCTGGAGCCAGGTAGGAAAGAAAAATGGGACTCCCCCCCACACCGGCCCTCCAGAGGCAGGAAACAGCCTGTTTCTCTACTTCTGGTGGGCCCAGAAGGCCCGAAAATCAGCTGGCCGGTACGCGCATGCACCCCAGAGCTGAGCTGGCGTGCCCACTAATATGGCTCCATGCGCCACCTGTGGCACGTGTGCCATAGGTTCGCCATCATGGTTCTACTCTATATGGAGCTAAAGTGTTGGTTGTTTCTTTAAAGCCCTAAATGTCACAGCACCAGTCCATGATATAATGCTTTGTCAGAATACAAGCAGCCTGTTTAAGATCCATGATCAGAAGCAAGTATGCTGAAAGATGTCTCCTTTAATGAGATTCATAGGGTTTAGGTGAGTCAGCAGGTCTTCCTTTGTGGCAACCCACACCTTGCAGAATACAAGGACTCACTGATTTATGACCAGTTTTTTTAGTGACCATTCAAAGTTATGACATGACCACCATCCCAGAAGGGACTTACGTAACCCAGTAACAAAGTTCTGGTTCTGGTGTCAACTCCTCCTGTGGTCCCATGACCGCATTTTGGCACTTGGCAACTGGCTCACATTTATGCAGCGACCCATAGTCATGTAACCACAATTTACAACAGTTTTGCTGAAAACTGGTATTTACTTCTGGTTTCTGGCAAAAATCAGGCCATAGTAATGTGAATAAAATAGGAATCATACAGAGTCAGCTACATGAACTCTAAAGGACCCTCTCTATTCACATTATTATAAGGGAAAAACGTGCTTAGCTACATGAACTCTAAGAGACCCTCTCTATTCACATTATTATAAGGGAGAAACGTGCTTGATGGAGATTACATTAAAAACAGCTAAACCCCATTAGTGGTAATAAATCTTCTGATGAGGCCTAGCTGTCATGGAAGGACAGCCATATGGAAAACATCTGAGGGGGGCCTCTCTGTCAAATACACAAAGACAGACACAGGAAACAAAGACTCACTTATTACTTATTACCCAAGGACAACAGTAAATCTCCCATTAGCAACCACAGCACTTAAGGAAAAGTTGTGTAGCTAAGATAATCTTATAAACTAGCAAGTTATGGTTTAGTAATTAGGAAGTGTGTCAATTATCATATAACAAGTGTATGTTAACCATATATGGAAAACTGCATGAGCTCACCGAATCCTTTGTCTTAGAAACATATATAAACTGTCTATCAGAGCTCTTTCATTGTTCAAAGTTTCAGGTACAAATCTGGCTCTGAACCTTGCGCAATAAACTGACTCTGGCTGACCCAGGAATGTTGTTCAGTCTCAATTTTTTCCACAACAATAGTGAACAATGGGTTCACTAAATGACTGCCACAAAAAAGGTTGTAAAATTGAGTTCGGTTAGACGGTGGCCTGCTTTACGACCATCACGATTTACAATCATAATTGCCAAGCTCAATTACATTTGTAACTTGAGGACAACCTGTACTCTCCTCTCCAGAAATGTGTGCCGCTCCCACCTTGCTGCAATTCTGTAAGCAAGTGGGCGAGTGTTTTGGATTGTATATTGGCATTTCTTTTGTGTTTAGTTTTTGTTTTTAATATTGACTTGTACTACTTATTACTCAGAATTATATATACATTTATATTTAGTTATCAGGATTGTAGGTATGTATTTTACCTTTAAGAGTTTCCTCAGAAATGTTACTTTTCTAGGTTATTTCTAGGATAAGAGTGGGGGAGGGAAAGGGGAGAAGAGACAATTTGTGAGATAGAGGTTGGCATGCATGAACAATTAGCCTCCTCCCTCCTTCCTAGTGTGGGGTACAATATAAGAAGTTGTAATTTTCCATAATATAGACTAGCATATAGCTTATGAAAGACATATACACTTTATATAAGGTTTATTCTTTGTTCCAATTACCTAGAGTTAGTATCTTAACATATAGCCAGACTCCAGCCATGTTTACAATTTTCTTACTGATAATTTCCTATAAGCCTTAAAAGGCCTCTCTCTCTCTCTCTCCCCTTGAGACCATGACTGACAGGAGAGTGTTTAATATATTGTAGCGTTTTTAGCTGTTCTCGAGTCTCCATAAACAAAGAGAATAGTCAAGTCTGACCTTGGGAAGGCTAAGAATGCATTTAATCCAAACTTGCTTTGACAGCTTTCTCTCTCAAATGTTTATTTTACTTGAGTGATGTTCTTTTTTTATGGCTATGTTATAATTCTTGTGAAACAAGGTAACTGATAAGGGAATATCAAAGAAGTAAGAGATGAGGGTGTGTGTGAATGTTTAGCAAGCTTGGGTGACAATAAGGGCTTAACTAACTTTAAACATTTAGGGGTGATAATAGATTCTAGGGCAGCTGTCGGAAAGCATGTGACCAGACTAGGGCTATCAACTTGGCCTGGAAAGGAATGATGTGGCATAAGCTGATGGGGGTAGGATGATTATAAAAGTGCTTTTTCATTACTTGGGTATGGTCTCTTGCCTATGTGTATTGAGGACCACTAGCTTTTGCAAAAGCTTCAATTAAACTGTTTTGTATTCCAACAACTTTGAGTGAGTTTTACTCCTCACACTAGTGTTGCCATTAGCATTAGAGAAAACATAAATTAGAGGAGCCTGTGGAATTCCCATTTGCCAGCAGTCGCTTATCTCATGATCACTATGTTAGCTTTCCCCGCCCCACAAAAGGATTAATGAGATAGAAGTAAGAAAGAAGATAGGCTCATTATATATCCTCATTAGTTAAAAATCATAACTTAATAAGGAATATTTTTCCTGAATGAGATGTTCATAATCTAAAGAACAGTATAATAGCATCTCCCTAATAAAAGAAATATACAACTCAGTTTGGTATATTATTGTAAGAAAAGATAAAAACGTACTCTTTTATAGAATGTATTAATTGCATAAAAGAAATTATAAAGGCTCTATTGCAAAGCTTCAGTAACAAGGCAAAGGAAAAGCCACAAATGGAAAAAGATTAATTATTGTGTCAGCTTGACCAAAATGTTCAAGAAAGCTCACCCACAAAGGGTGAGAGAGATAAGATGCATCCTCTTGTAAATCAGCAAAATCAATCACTGCAAAGCACAGGAAATTGGAAATCAGTAAATAAAAGAAGCCATAACCAAAAGGAATCATGTTGGACACGTACGCAGGATGTAAACAGGCAGGAACTGGGGGGCGGGGGGAAGGAGGTGTGATGTATACTGGGGAAAAGGTATAAAAGTATTGTTTGAAATTTTGAAAAGCACACTTCACAATTTCAATCCAATTTGGAAGTGACATGTATATGCTTAATACAAATTAAACAATGACTAATCCAATATTAATGAATATTGTTGTTTAAATTCTACACACAGTTTATGCTTAACTAAACTACACCTGCAGATCAGAAATCTTCTTCTAAAGAAAATGAAGATGTATACCACAGTAGCAGCTGCTAAAAATCAAATAGGTTTTTGGGAATCAGAAAGTTCTAGAGTTTATTCTGCTCCATATCTGCAAGAAGTTAAATAACTTTGTCAGAAAAACTGAGCAAATAAAGCAAAATACAAATACTCATAGCACAAAATCAAAGAAACATGCAACCAGAGTTAATGAGACGTAATGACAGTATTTATCACAGGGAATCACATTAAAAGAACATATAAAAGGAAGAAATATTCATACCACTACAATATCTTCATTCTGGGTGTGAGGAGGGATTTTTGTAATTCCAGATGGTGTTTCTTCTTCTGCAACAACTTCAGGAGATGTAACAGAGTCAGTCTGGCTAGGAGACTCTTCATCAGGCTGACTATCTTTTGGTTTGACCTGCAGCATTTATATAGATTAGAACTTGGAAAAGATTTTAAAAGCAAATCTTTTTTCCCTAAATAACAAAATATTGTCTTTTTACTAGGAAAAGAGAGTCCCTCTAAATTAAAACTTCAAGATGTATGATCAATTTTTGAGAAATTTTCTATGGAAATTACATTATCGACCAGTCACTAATATGTTAAAAGTGTTCAAAAATTGAAACTGATCAACTTTACATATCTTTGAATATGAATTATGGTTTGAACTGAATCCCCTTCCCCCTCCCCTCTCCCTCCCCCTCCTTCATCGTGTTATTCCTATGCTATGACTATTCCTGAAAATCCCAGAAGCTTATAATATGCACAGAAGTGTATGCAGTAACTAAACCTCTAGTCACACAGACAAGAAGAATCAGGGTGGACCAGTTTTAAAAGACAGCACTGATTAGCTACTTGCTTTCAAGCCCAGTTCAAGATACAAGAACTTACTTTTAAAGAATTGAAGAATTTTAAAACTAAATGCCTTAAGGAATATCTCTCCCTATATTTTTATGCATCCAATTAAAATCTACTTTACCCAGGCATTTAAAATGTGAAGTCCACACATCTTAAATTGCTAAGGTTGAGAAACACTGTTTTAGGACAAAGTATAGAAGTTAGCATTGCCAACATCCTTTTTATGGTTTGGAAGCTCATCATCTTATTATACAAATATTCTAAATCTTTTCCTATTATTACCTTGGATGGGACATCTTTTTTCACTGATGCTGCAGTATTTCCCTTGTCCTGTTCGAATTTCTTAGAATCTTCTGGCTGTTTTTTCACTTTCTCAAACTTTTTCTTTGGCTGCAACAGAGGAGTCTCACATGATGGACATTTATTATATATAGACATTCTGCTTTTATTGTTCTGGCACCTAATGACCAGACAGGTTATTTAAGATTCAAGACAATAAACATAGTCGTAGAATAAAGTGCTCGCCTAAATCTTCTCCCTTTTAAGTGTAAATTTTATATTTTTAATGTATTTTAAAATATGGGTATCTTAAATTATGGGTATTAATTCAGCCAAATTTATTTAATTCATTTTATTCGATTTTAAATTTTGTATATCTATGTGTTTTATTTCATGGCTGTGCACCGCCCTGAGTCCTTCGGGAGTAGGGCGGTATAGAAATTCAATAAAATAAAATAAATAAATAAATAAAATTAAAGAGAATGTACCCATATGTTCTTTCTGTTAACAGGAATTGTGAAAGGGATCTCTTCGCATACCAGCTGGAACACTGCACCTTCCCAGGTAGTTCTACAATGGTGTTCCCATCCCATCCTACCTTGTCTTGGCTTACATATATTTTTGTAAGTGAGGGAGATTAATCTGATTTAGCATCTGGAAATGCCTGCCAAGGACATTCCATGTTTTTTCTTGGCATCTATCAACTCATCCTTCCTTTTGGAGTCATACATTTGTTCATAATAATAAGGACAAGATAAACAACTTAAGCGAGCTGCACTGGCTCCCGGTGGTCTTCTGGGTGCACTTCAAGGTTTTAGTTATCACCTTTAGAGCGCTCCATGGCTTAGGACCTGGTTACGGGACTGCCTGCTACCACCAATAGCCTCCCACCGGCCAGTACGCTCCCATACAGAGGTGCTCTTCCGGGTGCCGTCGGCCAAATAATGTCAACTGGCAGCCCCTAGAGGGAGAGCCTTCTCTGTGGGGGCAGCTACGATCTGGAACAAGCTCCCCCCGGAGATACGGAGGATCCCGGATCTGCGCACCTTCCGTCGCATGCTTAAGACTTTCTTATTTCATCAAGGTGGCCTGGCCTAAATCTTTTTCCCTTTTAAATGTAAATTTTAATTTGTTTTTAAATTATTGGGTATTTTAAATTTGTCTCAGCCAAATTATTTAATTTGTTTTTATTCTATTTTAAATTTTTGTATTTATGTGTTTTATTCTGTGGCTGTTCACCGCCCTGAGTCCTTCGGGAGTAGGGCAGTATATAAATCCAATAAAATAAATAAATAAATAAATAAATAAGTCTAGGACATAAAATGTGTGTCAACTCTGCAGCTGGCCTGATTACGGCAACTGTGTGTATGTATCAAGGTCAGTATAAGATAAGGCTGGTAGTAGGGGTAGGCAAAGGAAATACAGCGTGCAAAGGCAAACAATAATGGGTGATTTAGAGGAAAAGAATTATTCCTGTAAAGAATATAGCCTGAGTGACTCCATATTTATCCTTTATATAACCTGAGTTAATCCTCTCTGACATTAAGCTGAGTAAAATATGGGAAATGTTTATGACATCTGTTTTGAGGAAATAAATGTTCTGGTACATTCTAAGTTGGGTCAAGCTGAACCAAACTCCACTGAAAAGGAAGAAGAGACTAATTATCCAATTAATAAGAACAATAACAAACAATTAAGAATACATGTTTAGAGGGTATTTTTGGAGGCGAACTCCAGGGTGGAACATGTGAGAAAGCCAAAATGAAAAACAATGACAGATGGGGGCGTTTTAATTGTTTTGCTGATTGCCTGAAAATGTATTTAACCATGTATTTGGAGTGGTAAAACGTTCTCTCTCTTTCATGGGAGAACCCTTTTGCAAAAGTTTATGGGATACATATATCCTTAAAATAAATCTGCTTTTTACTTGTTCATGGCCTCTGTTTCACTTTTTATGAGGTTTGCTGTTTTTTTTAAATCTCACAGTGATATAGGATAATACAGAGTTTATATAAGGTATCAGAGAAAAAGTAGTTCACACCACTATGTGCCTCCACACCATTACTTTCTTGTAAACACTACAACTATATAGGTAGTCTTTGACTTATGACCACAATTGGGACTAGAATTTCCATTACTAAACCAGGGTAAGTGAAGCTCACCTGATTTTATAATCTTTTTTTGCCATGGTTGTTAAATGAATCCCATTGAGTCTGCTTGTTGGAAGCCAGCTGGGAAGGTCACAAATGGCAACCACATGACCCATTAAGGATACAACTGTCATAAATCTTTGCCAGTTGCCAAGTGCTCAAATTTTGATCACTTGTCTATAGGGATGTTGCAATGTCGTAAGTACAAGGACTGATCATAGGTCGCTTTTTTTTCAATATCATTATAACTTGCAACAGTCATTAAATGAATGGCTGTATGTCTTATGACCACAACTGAGCCCAAAATTTCCATTGTTAAGACAGTTGTTAAAAGAATTTTGTCCCATTTTACCACCTTTCTTGCTACGGTTGTTAAGTGAATCACTGCAGTTGTTAAGTTAGTAACATGATTGTTAAATGAATCTGGCTTCCCCATTGACTTTTGACTTTGCTTGTCAGAAGGTTGCAAAAGGTGATCACACAACCCTGAGACACCGCAAACATCATACATACATGCTAGTTGCCAAGTGTCTGAATTCTGATCATGTGACCACAGGGCTACTGCAACAATTGTAAGAGTGAGAATCAGGTGAGAAAAGGAAGTAAGCAAAAGACTGATCTAAGTCACCTTTTTCAGTGCCATTGTAACTTTGAACGGTCACTAAGTGAATGGTTGTAAGTCAAGGACTACCTGTAGTCTATTTTGCTTAGGCCTTTATGTCTAGCTTCATTAAGGGAAATAGTTATTTGGCTTTGCTTGTAATTTCCAAACATTAAGATACATAATTATTTGGAGCACAGAAACAGAGAAGTAGTTAAGAAAGCAATAGTAACTGCTCTAAACAATTATTTAATGGTCACAAGCTGCCACTGTATGTATCTTTAAGCTGCATTTGTCTTCATTTGTATCTTTTTGAGTATTCCCCACTGAGATACCAGCATTATATTTTCCTTCATGTAAGAGCAAAAGATTGCATGTGTTTTCCAATTGGCATACGATGTCCACAACAAACTGCACTATATCAAAATGAGGTGCAAATACTGCAATTATATAATTGCATAATGAGACTTGAGACATATACTTAAATCATGTCAAAAGTGTGGTATTATCATGCATATCTCAGTATTTCCTCCCCTTACCTTCCCAGATATCCACGAACATACACATGAGAAATTGTCTGAATATATTTGGTGCAAAAATATACACTGTTCCTGAAGAATTATTATTTATTTCTTACCGCCACATTGCTTAAAGGAGAACTTGACTGGTTTTGAAAATTACCTCTTCCTGCAGAAAGAGAAACAGTTAAATGAAATTAAGAAGTTTCCAATGAATTCCATGAGGTAAGAGACAAACATTTGGAAAAGCTTTGTTTCACAGTATTATTCTTTTCAGAGTACCTGAAAGAATATTGGGGTCTCAGTCATGCACACGTATATTGTTGTGCTGAAAGTTAAATATAATAGAGGAGAGAAACCATCCAAAGAGTTAAAAGAAACAGATTTAAATTCTGCTGTTTGTTTTGGCTACTATACTGGAACCAGGAAAAGGAAGGTTCCTCCCTTAAAACGTAAATGCTGCTTTCCTGAACAGGAGATTGCTGACATTTTTTTAAAAATTGAATCCTAGATTGAGAAATCATGGAAATAATAGTAATAATGGACAGTCCATTAGAGCATGTGCTGTAACACCTATCAGTTTTAAGGCAATATCTGCTACATATTTGGTAAATATATTTCTATAAAGATCAATTTATGTTTTCATTTATCCTCTTTGGCAATGACTACAGATTCTTCTCTATTTCCATTACATTCTTATCCATGGTTAAATGAGTCATGGTTGACTCAGTTAATAGAGACAGAGAGAGAGACAGAGACGTAGATAGATAGATAGATAGATAGATAGATAGATAGATAGATAGATAGATAGATAGATAGATAGAATACACACACACACACATACACTAATATTTTGTTACATGATTACACTTATTTAGAAGCTACTTTTCTTCTGTACTATTTGGAGGCTTCCTCCTCTTTCATTCTCTTTTGCTTGGAGTACATAAGGTAAAGGTAAAGGTTCCCCTCGCACATATATGCTAGTCGTTCCCAACTCTAGGGAGCAGTGCTCATCTCCGTTTCAAAGCCGAAAAGCCAGCGCTGTCCGAAGATGTCTCCATGGTCATGTGGCTGGCATGACGAAACGCCAAAGGCGCATGGAACGCTGTTACCTTCCCACCAAAGGTGGTCCCTATTTTTCTACTTGCATTTTTACATGCTTTCGAACTGCTAGGTTGGCAGAAGCTGGGACAAGTAACGGGAGCTCACCCCATCATGCGGCACTAGGGATTCGAACCGATGAACTGCCGACCTTTCGATCAACAAGCTCGGTGTCTTAGCCACTGAGCCACCGTATCCCTTTGGAGTACATACCAGTATTTTAACTCTCACAAACCTCTTGAGAAGGTCTTTTTAGATCTTGTATTAAAACGATCTCGGTAAGGACGCCTATGGTAGGAACCTCGGGTGTAATCATCAAAACCGATGTTGTAGGGCCTGCAGAAGTACAAACAAACATAGGCTTCATTCTACAGTACTTGCCTTCATTTCTGTTGAAAATACAGGTAGTCCTTGACTTATAACCAGTCACTTAGCAACCGTTTGAAATTATGACAGCTCTGCCAAGAGCGACTTATAAACCAGTTTCAAAGTTATGACCACTGAAGTTCTTCTGCAGTTGTTCACTCGTATGACTGACCTCAGGGATACTGCATCTATCTCGGCCACCCATCCCACCAGATTCCTTGGTCTGTTGCCTTCAAAGCACCCAAGGGAGACCAAATTTGGGCAGCAGATGCTTCCAGCACACAAAGGGCAGTTGTAGCTCACAGGCCTCGGCGTACCTCCCATCCAGTCACCCAAGGGCCTCCCTCTGTCCCTCAGGTTCCCACAGGCTTCAGGCTGCTCCCAACCTGGGCACTCAGCCTCCAAGGGAGCCTAAAGCCAGGCAGCAGACTCTACTGAAACACACAGGGCAGTTGCAGCTCATAAACTTCAGTCTACTTTCCATCCATCCAGCCAAATACTTGCAGGACTCGGTCTGCTGCTCAGCTAGCTCCATGGACCAGCAGCAACTTATCTTTCTGTTTTTTACAGAGGTGCCCAGCTGATGTGATGCAAAGCTCAGCTTTATCACAGATGCTGCCTGCCTCATGGTAACTCTGTGCTATTCTGCAAGGAGGTACTTTGGTTGTAAGCCTCTAGACTAGAGGACTCCTTTTTTAGGGAGTCCTCTAGTCCTCCAGGGAGTCTCCTGTTTGTGGAGTTTGTGAAGCCTCTGAACTACAGGATCTTCTTTGTGTAGATGACTTTGTTCACAGTTCCTCTCATATTAATTATTAAAAATCTTTACAATTTCTCTTTTACCATTTTCATAATTTGTTCCCAAACTTTTACTGCTATTCCCAATTTTGTATGCTATTAAGTAAAAACCAGAAGTTGTTCAAAAAATTTTTCTAAACGTCTTTTTCTGGGAGACTCACTAAATGATGCCTTTCAACTTCACACATAAAGGTATTTATACCAGATTGATGGTATTCTCTCTATATTGTGGAGATTATGTTTCTTGAACTATGATACCATGTTGCTTAGTTTCTGTCTGGGTGTTTGAGCAAAGTGGTATATGCAGTACAATGCAGTGAGCCATGTGCAGATCTGTACATTGGGAAAATGAAACAACCACTTCATAATGCATGGCACAACATAGGAGACCAAACACATCAGGACTAGGTTCAGCTGTCCAACTGCATTTAAAAGACACAGGCCACTCTTTTGAAGACAACAAGGTCCATATTTTGGACAGAGAGGATCACTGGTTTGAAAGAGGGGTTAAAGGGCCATCTATGTCAAAATTGAGCAGCCCTCTCTCAACAGAGGAGGAGGAATAGGACATCATGTATCTCCAATCTACAACACAGTCCTTTTAACAGTTCCAACAAGGCTCCACACCCATTTGCATCACTCGGGTGACCCTGATGACACAGATAAACCTCCAGATGACCTTAATGACCTGCTAAAAGAATGCAAATAACCAGCTGTCTGCAAGGAGTATAAATCCTTCCATTCCCCACCATCCAGTCAGAGTTTAAGAAACCTCTTGGATGAGAAGCAAAATGTCTTCAAAGAAAAACCAGAAAGTCCAATTGCCTCTTGAAAAAACACCTTTGGGACAACCATGACTGAGAATCTTCATAGACACTCTCTGGTGAAAAATTATTTGCCCATGCTTGTTAAATAAATAGTATTATGTGGCTTTTATTTATTTATGCTTTATTGCTTTTTATTCTGCTAATTTAAGCAATTGAAAGTAGCTTCATACTTTTTTTAAAAACAATAACCCAAACTACCGTTTCCCCCAAAATAAGACATCCCCTGATAATAAGCCCAAAAGCCCAATTGAGCGCATGGCAATAAGGCCAAGCACTTATTTCAGGATTCAAATAAATATAAAACAGAGTCTTATTTTTGGGGAAATATGGTACCTAGAAAATAAAAGATGTTACTAAATAATGTAAGATGAGGAAGTAACATACCTCTGTTCCTCTGGATGGTGTTGGTTCCACCATGGAGGGGGTCTCTCTGGAAACTGATTCTGTGGCATGTTCCAAGTATCCATCCAAAAGTTTTCATTGGGTATATTCTGGGCAATTAAAAAATAAGTATTATTCACAATTGTGACTAATCTAGAAATCCTTTAACAGGTAACAAAAGTCATATTATTGACAGAAAGGCAGATTATTATTTCTGGTTGTGCAACAAAGTCATCTTTGCATGACAATATTATGGCACAATGCAAATATTCAATAAGCAAAGCTGATTTCTGTTCAACATTGTTTGGTCAGACTCTGCATTTTTGTAAAACCAAGGAAAACCTGCCTAGAAAACTTTGGTAATTCCGAATTGATATAGGAAATGGCTTTCCTCTCCACTTATCACAGCACAAGTAAAAAAAATTCTTAACCCTAGAAAACTCCACAATGCCTTAATATGGCCTCCAATCAAACATCTAGTCACTACAGAGCTGAGGTGGCACAGTGATTAGTCAGTGGTGGGTTTCAAATTTTTATACTACCGGTTCTGTGGGCGTGGCTTGGTGGGCATGGCAGGGGAAGGCTACTGTAAAATCTCCATCCCACCCCACTCTAGGGGAAGGATACTGTAAAATCTCCATTCCCTCCCCAATCCAAGGGAGGGTTACTGCAAAATCCCCATTTCTTCCCGATCAGCTGGGACTTGGGAGGCAGAGAATAGATGGGGGTGGGGCCAGTCAGAATTTTTACTACCGGTTCTCCAAACTATTCAAAATTTCTGCTACCGGTTCTCCAGAATTGGTCAGAACCTGCTGAAACCCACCTCTGATTAGAGTGCAGTACTGCAGGCTACTTCAGCTGACTGCTAGCTGCAGTTCGGCAGTTCAAGTCTCACCAGGCTCAAGGTTGGACTCATCCTTTCATCCTTCTGAGGGGGGTAAAATGAGGACCCAAATTGTTGGGGGCATTATGGTGACTCTGTAAACCACTTAGAGAGGGCTGTAAAAGCACTATGAAGCTGTATACAAGTCTAAGTGCTATTGCTATTGCTATAAGCAAAAAGTCCATAGTTTAAGCAATTAAACTAAGTTATCTGTGAAAACCTAGTTTGAATTTTTAAAATTTTCCCAGAACTTTAATCATATAGATCTGTTGATGAATTTGAAATAAATTGATCCAGAAGACATTTATTGATCCAATAAATTGTTCAGAAGACATTGTAATTATGCATCATTTGCTGGGAAAAATTGCCAGAAGATTCTCTAGTTATGTGTATATAAGAACATAACTGAAATTCCATTTCATATCTGAAGCCTATGTGGCATAACAAGAAGCATATTCTCTACTCCCACTATTTCAAAAAGATAGGAGAAGACCACATAAAAGAGAGGAATGTATAGTACAACTGTATTCATATTAATATAAAAGCAAGTTGAATTCCAGAAACAATTTTCTCTTTGCTAAGCAGAGAGAAAACAGCAGTGGAGCTGTTGTGGCTATAGTTTTTATCAACAGCACAGCTTGACACAGGGTGGTACACCCACATATTTTATCTAAATCTGAAACAACCTTGAGAAGAGGTAATGTTTATCTTATGTTGCTGTCTCCTCCCACAGTGTTTTTAAAAGGAGCCAGAAGCACTCCAAAACATTAAATAAAAAAGCACTTGCTATTACAAAATAGCAGTATTATTACAGATTTATACTGTACATGACCTTTAATTTGTAGAACTCAAGTGGATACATTGTATATAATATTGCCATCTCACTCTTTTCTCTATTATACAACCTATGAAGTGGGTTGGGCTGGAGAGAGTGACTGGCCCAAAGTTATCCAGCTGTTTTATATATAAGACCGCTGGATAACTTTGGGCTAGTCACTCTCTCCAGCCCAATCCACTTCATAGGTTGTATAATAAGCCAGAATTGCTGAAAATAATTTCTTGGAACTACTGAACTATCATGCAGATGCATTCTACGAAAATTGGTACACACCTGTAGTAAATTACAACATATAAAAAATACAGAGTTTTCATACTATATCTCAGCTTAGATTCTGAGAGCTTTCTCCTCTAATAGGTTGAATTTCAGAAGCCAAATCAACAAAATATGTCAGATTCAAAATAAATGGATTTGACGTTATTTTCATGACTATTCTGAATCTCTGATATGATGTTGAAAATCTGCTCAAAACATTCTCTATAGGAAAACTCAAAGTGGTGGGGAGGAGAGAAAGCATCTTAAAATGTTGAACAAATCCCTTGTTCCACCAAATGTTAGAATAGTGATAGAGAGTGTAAGAAAAGATAAAAAGTTACTCTTTTATAGAATGTATTAATTGCATAAAAGAAATTATAAAGGCTCTATTGCAAAGCCTCAGTAACAAGGCAAAGGAAAAGCCACAAATGGAAAAAGGTTAATTATTATGTGGCAGCTTGACCAAAATGTTCAAGAAAGCTCACCCACAAAGGGTGAGAGAAATAATATGCATCCTGTTGTAAATTAGCAAAAGCAATCACTGCAAAACACAGGAAATTGGAAATCAGTAAATAAAAGAAGCCATAACCAAAAGGAATCATGTTGGACACGTACGCAGGATGTAAACAGGCAGGAACTGGGGGGAAGGAGGTATGATGTATACTGGGGGGAAAGGTATAAAAGTATTGTTTGAAACTTTGAAAAGCTCGCTTCATGATCTCAATCCAACTTGGGAAGTGACATGGAGGCCTGCCTTTGCAAACGCATTCCAATAAATTCTCTTGGTTTGTACATCAGAGTTGTCTATCGAATTAGTGAGTATAAATTTTTTTTTAGTGTTTAAATCTCACAGGAGTCTCTGAGCCTCAACTAAATCCTCTCCTCTCCTCTCCCCACTCTCTTCTCTACCAGCTGTCCCTCTCTGTTTCCTTTACTTTCTCCCCTCCCTCTTAAAGAAAAAAGTTGAAGCCCAAGAAAATAATGCATTCATCTCTGACTTCTGCCATTTCAAATAGCAGAGGCCTTCTCCATGGCAGAACAACCAGTTTCATATATTTTGACACTGACTGCTCTCACATACAAGTAATCCTCAACTTATGACCACAATTGAGACTAGAATGTCCATTTTGTCCATTTCTAAGCAAGGCGGTTGTTAAATCAGTCATGCCCAATTTTACAACCTTTTTTGCCTTAATTGTTAAGCAAATGGTTGCAGTTGTTAAGTGATCATATGGTCACTAAACAAATTCAGATTCTCCAAATTATTTTGCTTGTCAGAAGCTGGCTGGAAAAGTTTCAAACGGCCATCATATGACCGGGGATGCTGCAACCCTGGTAAATACATGGCTGGTTGCCAAGTGTCCAAATGGGAAAGCTGCAATGCTTGTAAGTGAAAGACCAGTTGTAAGTCATTTCTTTTCAATGCTCTTGTAACTTCAAAAGGTCACTAAACAAAAGGTTGTAAATCGAGGATAATCTGTATAGGCTCTTTCTCCTCTTTGCCTTTGATCTCTCTATCACACACCTATTCTCCTCTTCTGGTGTTGATCTTCTTCTCTTATGCATTCATCCATTCCTCTCTTGACCACAGTTCATTTACACCTGCAGCATGTTCCCTTTCTTCTTCTGTTTTATAGATGGCATTTAGCACCAGTGAGATTGGCAAAAACGTATTCCAGCCTATCACCTAAATGTTGGAGATGTGGCCATAAATTAGGAACATACTACCACATGTGGTGGATGTGCCCCAGTATTAAAAATTTTTGGTATAAAATCAGAAGGGGGTTAGAAGAGATTACACTTGAAACTCTGATTTCAAACCAGAGTTGTTTCTTCTAGGAATGATTGATAAGAAAATGGAGAAAAGTTTGTGCTACATACCTTTGCATATCCAGCATCACATTAATTTCCTCAAATTTTCAGCCACAGTATTGAGGTTCTAGACATCATTCTTTTCATCTTGTTCATAAAAAATAATTTTATAAAACAGTACACTTTTTGAACCAGATTATTTTCTGAAGAAAAATAACCTTTATTCTCCAAGAATTATTTTTGTGTTTTTGTGTGTATCCATGTGTGTGTGTGTGTGTGTGTTTCTCTGATGTCTGTAATAAGAAACTAGAGCTGAGAGTTGGGAACAGAAAAAAACTTACATTTTGGTGAAACCACTGATCATGGCATCTTCTGGGGAAGCTCTGCCTTCGTGGGAAAAAACCACTGCCCATATTTCAAGGCCTGTGTGGAATTAAAAATAAGAAAGTATATCGGCATTATATTTAGATACATTCTGTTTAGAAATCTTCTAAACAGAAATGCACAGAAATTTATGGCTAATGTCACTATGCAAATCTCTTTCCACAGCAGTGTTTCTCAAACATTCTGTAATGGTCCAATAAACATTCAAAAAATAGGGGACACCCTCCCCCCGATTACACAATTATCCATCTCCCCACATATTGTCCTTAAGAGCAGGGATCATACTTTTTGGCAAATAATGTATGCCCTGACATCTTCTCCATCTTAAGAGGCTTTTTTAAATTAAATTTTATACCAAAACAATCAATTCAAAATTAAATTATAATCAAATTACTATTATTTATCATTGTGCGATACCTTGAGCTCATTATATACACATACCCATGCATTTAATGTGTTTAGTATTTTGTGCTCAAATACCACCACACTTAGACAGTACTCATGATAGTGTGGGAAGTCCTTGCTCCAAGAAGAATGAAATATTTTGGGAAATATTTAAAAAGGCAGAATATTATATTTCCCTAAAGAAGAAATGGAGAAACTTGTTTTTAGAGGCAGAAAGCAGCCCCCAGTCTTTCTTAATAGCCCACAGCAGATGCCAGCAATTAAAGAGATAAAGAGCTTATTGAAAGAGGAAGCAAACTATCTAGATGGTTCCATTCATAAGGAAAGCAAATATTGCAGGCAGAAATCCATTCAAGACAGGATATTTCAAAACTCCTTGCAGCAAAGTTTGACAGCTAACATAAGCAGAATGGTAGGATTAGAACGAGCAGCCCCTCGCCCAAGATCCAACACAGCCATTAGCCGCAATAGGAATTGCCCAACACCCTTTCAGAACACAAACTCCTTCATTGCACAATCTCCAGAACAGTTCAAACTTCAAAGTCCAGAAACCTATAATGATCCATCCACTAATTATTCAACCATTTGGTCTGCTGCCCCAGAACCACAAACTCTGGTGGTTCTGTTCATCAATAAACAAGTAGAAAAACATGATAAAAACAGAAAAAAATAAAAATGCAAAGCCATCATAACTACCACATATACATTTTGGATTATTAAGATGGCCCCACTATTAGCATCCCAAAGAATCTAAGAGTTTTCCAGTTGTGTAATCAATTTTGACTGGGGATTGCCAAATACAGATTATTATAATTATTTGCAGAGAAGGTGGAAATATATGCAGGAAATGATGCTGTTTGTCTAATGGATATATGTATCCCTGAATGGAGCAACCCATTTCACATTTTACAATTTTGGTAAATAAGGTATGAGAATGAAGATACAACTACAAACAGCCTTCAATGAGAACTACTAAAACTCCAGCACATAGCCACACTGAATTGTTGTCCATAGAGTTTCAATGTATAAAATGGCCACAACTGAGCTTATGCTTAAGAAAATCACAGCAGCAATACCATTTTTTCTATGGATTTCATGGTAGTGCATATTGCTGGTCATTTTTCATTTGATTATGTAATTAAAAAGCTGTATACATACATGCACCCTGGTATGCAGCAATTCATCAATTTTACATGAAGATGAATCAGGGTTTTGGTGGAAATCAAAATACAGGCAGTCCACATTTAGTGACCACAATTTAGGCCAGCAACTCAATTATTAAGCAAAGAGGTCACTAAATGAAACCACTACTTACAATCTTGATTCAGCTTTCCTTTGCTTTACAGATTTGCAAAGGTTATAAATGCAAGAACTGGAGGCAAGGTTATTTTTTCATCAAAGCTCACTTTTTGTTGTAATTGTGAATAGTTGTTATATGAGGTATTCATTAAGCAAGACTATTTGTGTAGATTTATAAAACTTGCCTTGAAACTTAATGTGTACAGGTAGAAGGAATTTATAAAATCTTATGCGCAAAGGGAAAACGGACTTTATTATTTTACTTCTTTGCCATTTCTTTGAAGTAACTGTATTTTCACAGACCCTTTTCATAGACAGTCTATCTATCCACAGGTAGTCAAATATCATTATATTGCACCCTGCTGCAAGTTCTCATTTACATGTATGCTAACGGTAACAGAATTATGGTCACTGGTTCTTAATAGTTCCCCAAGCCTTGCAACTTGTTCACCATTTAAGAATAAATCTAGAGTCCCTTCTTCCCTGCTCAGTTCCAACAAAAAATGTTTAAAGCACAGTCACTTAGGATGCATAGAAATTTGGCTTCTTTTTGTATTCTTTGCATGAAAATACCTACTGGTAGTTTACATGAAGATAAGTGATGACTACCCCATTATTAAAGTAACATTTCCTTTCCATTCTCTATTTCACTGTGTCAAGATCACTATTATCATTTTAATCAAGTGGACAATAGAACTTCCTTAAATCTATTTTACATTTGTGGCAGAATGAAGGAATTTGGTCTTCCAAAGTTTCTAATGAGTTAGATCTTATAATCTCTTTGATATAAATAACAAACCTTCTTCAGTGCATACAAGACTTTTCTTTACATTCCACAATTCCCTCCCTTGCATTCCAAATCTACCCATCCCCCTCCGTTTCTGTTGTCTGCTTGTGAGGGGGTGTGTGTGTGTGTGTGTAATGAGTCAAAGCATGACACAATGCTTGTATCCAAGAATGATTATGTCCTACTGGTTATTTCCATTCCATCAGTTTTCCATCATATATTCCTGCTCATAGCCAAACACTGTAATTACTTAGCAACGATGCTGTCACACATGTACATGGTGCACATTCAAATATTGCTGGTGTTTTATTCACAGCCTTTCTTACATTGTCATAGACACTGAAAACCAATTGTTTTCTGTACTGAATACTTAGTGAAACACTTAACAACTGATCAAGTTCAAGGTTACCAGGGAAAGAAACAGATACTTCTATGCTCACACTCAACTATTACGTTTGGCATCATTTTTATTTGTTGAAACATTATCTAGCAGCTAGATAATACATTATAGTGCTAGTCAAAGCTATCTCTGTGAATATTTTGCCAAATCCTGTCTTCAGACTTGTATAAAATCAGGTCTGAGTTTTTCTGATAATTTCTGGCATCCATTAACCTACTTCCAATATTAGCCTTCTCCCTTATGGTACTTTCCAAAATATCTACACAACCGAAAATGGATGCTGCCTAGCACTTTTGATGTTATGCACCAGCAACTGTTTGTATTTAAGTTCAGGTGGACACCATATAAATGGCTTCCTGGCTGGCTTCTGACAAGCAAAGTCAATGAGGGAAGCTGGATTCGTTTAATGACTGTGTGATTCACTTAATGACTGCAGTGATTTTCTTACCAACTATGTCAGAAAATGGTCATAGCAGTGAAAACTCTGGTCCCAATTGTGGTTGTAAATTGAGGATTACTTGTACTATTTCTTCAATGTCTTGAAACCTCTAAGATCTGTCTGTCCATCTAACCAGTTGAGATTAAGGAAAATGCAGCATTTCTGAAAATACCACCTACTTGCATTTGGGTTTCAGAACTAATTTTCCAAATGTCTCTGATGCCAACATACACCAGAATTGATGCTCCTCCCTGATACTATCAAGCTATTTTCCTAGTTAATAAACCAAACTGTAACTATATAAATATTCCTGCCTATGGAGGAAGCTTTATGTCAGAAGGACCAACACTGAAAAGATGACATGCCTGAGTGAATGTGCAGACTTTAGACAATCTAAGTAAAAACTATTTGCAAAAGTAATTATTATTCTACAGTATGCAGTAGGAAATATAAAGCTTACTTAAGCATTCCATGAACAAGTTTTATCACTCTGCTGAAACTGATTTGACTATTTAGGAGGGCACTGGAAGGCTTGCCTAAATGGACTAGAAATATTTTAAAAAAGACTACATTGGGGAGTTAAATGCTTAAATTTGAAATTACAAATAGAAATATAGAACCGACTTAGAACAGATAGCTTGTTTTCATATATTCTACAACAGCAAGGATTCTTAAAACAATTCAAAAAACTTTTCATCCAGATTAGAAAATCCATAATAATGTGAATAAAATAGGAATCATACAGAGTCAGCTACATGAACTCTAAAGGACCCTCTCTATTCACATTATTGTAAGAGAGAAAAGTGCTTGCTTGGAGATTATATTAAAAATCAGCTAAACTCCATTAAGTGGTAATGTATCTTCTGATGAGGCCTAGCTGTCACGGAAGGACAGCCATATGGAAAACATTTGAGGGGCCTCACTGTCAAAGACAAGGACATATATGTTACAAAGAGTTACTTAATCCAATAAATTTACCTAAGAACAGCAATAAATCTCCCATTAGCAACCATAGCACTTAAGGAAAAGTTGTGTAGCTAAAATAATCTTATAAACTAGCAAGTAATGGTTTAGTAATTAGGATGTACAAATTATCAAATGTATGTTAATCATATATGGAAAATGCATGAGCTCAGCGAATCCTTTGTCTTGGATATGTATAAAAACAGTTCTATCAGAGCTCTTTCTTGGTTCAAAGTTTCAGATACAAATCTGGCTCTGAATCTGCGCAATAAACTGACTCTGGCTGACCCAGGAATGTTGTTCAGTCTCAATTTTTCCACAACAATTAAAAATGAATATAATTTAGTAACTCTACTTGGTATTATATCTAATTATATCTAATAATACCAAATATAAGCAAAATAAAAAGTGACAAAAGGTGAGAGAAGTCCTTTAGGGAAAAAAAGTCACTACTATAGGCTAACAGCTATAGAAATCAAGTAGATTACCATACATCTCATTTATAAAAGAAAAAAAATGTGATATGCCACCATCTGGTGAAGATCTTGGAAATAAAACTGAAGCAATTCACACTTTCACTTAAGAGGAACTTCGATAGGATAAGAAAAGCAAATATAATCTAAACATGTTAACACAATACTTATGTGAGATTTAAATTTATCAGTTTGAATCAACAGGAGACTCTGTGAACAACACAACAGCTTTATTTGAACTTTTGCAAAAGTTGGCCTTCTGTGCTCATGTGGGTAGAGCCACAGAAGAGCAATGATACAAATGAATACAGGAATAAATACAGTTCCAATAAAAACCCACCCATCACTGCCCTTTATCACTATTGGTCAATTTAGGTCAGTTGAGTTTGGGCTGCACAATCCTGACAGATGGTTTCCGGGACATGCTATTCCCCCTGACAGTTGTTATATCTTGATCATAACAACACGTAATTTTAGCATGACAACTTGCTTTCCTGCCAATGTTAGCATGACCTGACCTGGAATGTACTAATAAATGTATGGCTTTGGTATTTTCCTAAAACTCTCATTCTTATGTCTCACAGCTGGTGTCCCATACAGAGGATAAATATGGCGTTACTATTGCTCTCTTCTTTACAGAAATAATTCTCATTTCTCTCACTCGGGAGTGGAAATATCCAATATTAACGTTTCAGCACAAAAGTTACTCAGTTATCTTTCTAAATGCACATTGTTTCTCAAGACCTTTTTTTTAAAAAAAGGATTCGTGCTAGAAGGCTAAAAGTGTATTTTCAAAAGCAAGAGCCAGGCAGTCAGTCTTTAAAGGGAAGGAAATGGTGTAAAAATACAAAGATAATGTTATATACTTTCTTCTTTCTTTATATTTTTTTTACCTGTCCCCCTTTTTTTTCCTCTGCATTTCTTTTTTTTTTTAAAGTTTGTATTAGGTTTTTATTTTCATTTTAAACTTTTAATAAAAATTATTTTAAAAGCGAGGCAAATTGTAAGGAGAAAAGGGGTGAGGGAGCTAATAACGCTAAAACTCAAAGAAAACTAACAGCGGAAACATAGAGACAGACCATCTCTAACACACTTTTTCTCAAGATTATGCTCTGAGGATGACTAAATAGTTTTCTCCACCGCGGTGTCCTGAAACCTTTAGTAGCTAACAACTAGGAATTTACATTCACACCTTCCACTTTAAGGACTCTAAATAATGGAAGCTGTTTACAAACTAGTTCTTAAAACCTATTATAGGAGGCAGCCCCTTATTCCCAAGAAGTGACAGGGTAGCCACGAGCTGCCTGCTTAAAAATAGTCGCCATCCACGCGTGAACTGTTGCATCGACCTCACGGTGCGCAGAAGGCACAACTCAGCATGGTTCCGGATTCACCGTCCGCGACACAACAGAGGCGTAAACAAATATCAATCTTTCCCCCCTCTCCCCACCCCAGACTATGGTGTTTCTCAACAAATTCTGAAATAGGGCCGAAGCAATAAGCAACACTTCTCGTGCACAAGTAGACCCGTAATTTATACTCTTTCTGATCGCCAAAGTGAAAATCTGTTTTAAGAGTATCTTCAAAATAGTCGGAAGAAGGAAAAGAGAAATCAAGAAATAATTACAGTAATAACAAGGCTATTACAGCAACTCCTAAAAATTATACGACATTCTAGAACATGTGTTTAATTATAAATATAATTAAACCACTCTTGAGAAAGCCTGCTCTTCCCCCTACCCTCATTCTCCCCTACCGGCTTATATTACACAAAGTCAACAGACTGACCTTGCTTCAGAATCTTGTATAGTCATGGTTTTAAATAATGCGCAATATTCCACAGCAGTTACTTTGGTTTCAGGTCAGTCTTGCTTCCTCATCGTTTGCCCAGATACCTAAGAAAACCAGTCTTGGAAAACTTACCAAGCCAGCATCTACTTCGGCTTTGCTTTAAAACAGGGATCCAGTCCAATTTGACCGCTCACCAGAAACGTTGAGGGCTGACTGGAGTTTTATTAAAGATCAGACTTGAGGTGCGGGCTGATAACCTTGAAGTCTCCACCCACAGGCTCAGAGGGAAAGCGCAGTCGAGTAACGCGGAAAATAAAGATATTGGACTGTTGGAAGATATGAGAAACTCAATATTAAAAGAGCAGGGAAATTCCCCTAAAAGAAATAAGCAGAAACCCAGGCAGAGTTTCAGCCCCCACCTTTATCAATGGGCCATTAAGAAACTGAAGCCACCCTATTTTCCACAACAAAGGAAGGACAACATTCCAGGGGCCTGCAACATCCAAACAGATATATGGGACACAGGAAAGAAAAACAAATACCCAAAAAGGAAAAGAAATCAAGCCAAAGTAATTTAAACACATGAGAAAAAGGAGAAAACACAGAAATAGCAAGCTGAATAATTATAGGGAACGAACAACTACAAAGGGCTGGGAAAACAGAGAGTGGACTATAAAACAATTATTTATTTGCCAGATCCAGGACGGAAGAACCCAATCACAAACAAAAACAGGATTTCAACACCATAAAACAATCACACACACAAATCAAAGGATTCACACGCCAAATCAAAAGAATTTCAAAAGACTTTAAAGGGTCACATAGAAAACGCTCTGCTTGTATTTGTTTCTTGCCTGCCTTCCTATAAACAATAAACTAATTCTGCTCTCAAGCAGCTGACCTCCAATCATTGGCGAAGTAATCTCCCAGCCGGAGTTTTGAATTTAAGAAGGGAAAGCTCTGCCTTCTGACAATCCTTAAAGGGAAAGGCTACTTTTTCCTTCCAACAGGACCAAGCAACAACCTCTCTTAAGACGCGCTTCTTTTCGCCTTTGCACTGGCAGGCAGGAAAGCGGCGCACAAGAACGCCCGCATTTTCGAGAGCAAGGAGGGACCAAACGTTCATGCAGACGTTTCCTTTGGCAATTGGCCAGGAAAATGAGACCTATGAGTTAACAGGATAGGATGAAAAAGAACCGGAGGGGCCAAATGTATTTTTCTCTCTCTTATAACAAAAATGCATGTAGAATGTTAGCCCATTAATTCACATAGAGTGTAGTATTAGCATTATGCCAAATGCATGAAGGGTTGTGGGGGTATAAGATAATAAGTTGTAATTTTCCATTTAATACTGTATTTTATAATTTATATGGGGTTTCTCCTTTGGTCAAATTATCTAGAGTTAGTACCTTAACATACAGCCACACTGCTACATATCCAAAGTACAATCATGATTAAATTTTCTTTTCAATTGTATACATTGTAGATACCACCTTATCTTTAGCTGTTCTTAAATTCCCAGTAACAAAGAAAATAGTTAAGTCTAACCTTGAGAAGGCTGAGAAGGTATCTAACCCAAACCCACTTTGATATTTTTCTTCCTCAAATGTTTCTTTCATTTGAGCAATGTTATTTTCTATTGCTATGTTGCAATTCTTATGAAATGTATGAAAAAAGTGAGGCATGTGATGTGGGGAGGTGTGAATGCTTAGCAAGTTTAGGTGACAATAAGGGCTTAACTAATGTTGAAGAAAAATCCATCTGGTTCAGTTCCAAGCGGGGAGAAAGGCACTTGAAACAAAATGGAAGCCGGAGGCTGATTGAAAAGAAGGTCCATTTATTGGTGAACAGAACCACCAGGGTTTGTGGTTCTGGTGCAGCTGACAAAATGTAGTTGACAGTGGGGGTTTTTTATACCTTCTTTGGGCTTTGTATTTGAGCTTCTTGTTCCTGTGCAAGAACATGTCCTTTAATATTCTATTGGCTGTTGTCAGATTCCTATGGGGTCATGTAGGGGTCATAGCTGGCTCTATAAGCAAAAGAGGAAATGCAAATCCTATGTGTTTGTCTGAGCTAATCTGGTCAACCTCTGGCTTATTGTTTATCTGAGCACCCAGGTTTCTGTGACTTTGAAGTTTGGACTGCTCTGGGGGTGGTGCAATAAGGGGTTTGTATTCTGAAAGGGTGTTGGCAATACCTATTGTGGCTAATGGCTTTTGTCCTGTGTTGGATCTTGGGTGAGGGGCTGCTTTCTAATCCTACCATTCTGCTTTTATTAGCTGTCAAACTTTGCTGCAAGCAGTTTTGAAATATCCTGTCTTGAATGGATTTATGCCTGCAGTATTTGCTTTGCTTATGAATTGAGCCATCTAGATAGTTGGCTTATTCTTTCAATAAGTTCTTTATCTCTTAAGTGTTGGCATCTGCAGTGGGCTATTAAGAAAGACTTGGGGACTGCTTCCTGACCCTAAAAACATGTTTCTCTATTTCTCCTTCAGGTAAATATAATATTCTGCCTTTTTAAATATTTCCCAAAATATGTCACTCTTCTGGAGGGGGGGGGGGAGGCTTCCCACATTAACTTTAAACATTTAGGTGTGATAGTAATTTATAGGTGGTCGGAAGGCATGTGACCAAACTGGGCCTGCAAAGGAATGATGTGGAGTAAGCTGACAGGCATAGGATGATTATAAAAGTATGCTTTTTCATTACTTGGGGTGGTCTCTTACCTGTGCGTATTGAGATCCACCAGCCTTTGCAAACAGTTCAATAAAATTGTTTTGTATGCCAATAACTTCAAAGTTGAGTTTTACTAAAATAAGATATTGAATTTAGCAGTTGGAACAGGTAAAATGTGTAATAGGCCAGAACACACAGTTGTAGCTGATTAGTTAGTGTGAGAAACACACTCTCTCGGCTTGTCCACCCAACCGCTCTGGAAGCTGAGGTAGGCAAATCCTTGGTTCGAACCAATGTTTGATACTAATGGGCCTGAAACCGGAGCTGGTTCCCCTTTGTCAGCTAGATAAATTGCTGTATTAGCAAGAATGTATTTTTGTCTTCATGACCCAGACAGATGCATCCTGTTGTTCTCTGGGAACTGCTGTCTCAAGATGTCACATGCCAGACTTAGATAATGTATGTTACTCCCTTGCTGTATTATCTCAACTCCCATGTCTGGAAGGAACAGTTTAATTCCTTATATTACCTTATATGTCTATATAGAAACTGTTACGCATTAAACACTATATAAGCCCCACTTTGTACAACCCTTCGGGGTTCAGACATTTTGCTTGCTTTTGCAATTTGAACCTGCGCAAATAAACTTTCCTACAATGAAGAGTTTGGCCTAGTCTTGTCTTTCCTACAACAAAGCAAACAGTAACCAGTCACAAATTTGACAATCATTAAGTGAAGCAACAAGCAGTTTTGTGCAAAATACGTTCTTGCAAGAGCGGGTGGCTAGTAGGCACATCCAAGAACAGATTCCAGCAACTTTTATTCCCTCCACCCAAAGCATAAGGCCCTCCCTTGCAGCCCCCTTGACCACAAGTTCACACTCTTCCCAGAACACCTAATTTTGTTGCGAACTTCCCCATTTTTATCTGTCTCCCCACCAGGGATGAAATCTAATTTTTTTTGCTACCGGTTCTGTGGGTGGGGCTTAATTAGTGGGCGGGGCTTGGTGGTAAGGTAACTGGGAGGGCGTGGCTTGTTGGTCAGGTGGACGTGGCCAAGTCAATGTCACTTCTTTGCCCTTTTTTAACCTACAAAACACAACACAACACAACACAACAGGCTCACCCACAATATAAAAGCAGCTGTGCTAGACCCAAAATGGCCCCTGCAACAAGCAGGAACCTCACACAGCCACAAAAAGCCCAAAAACCCAACTTTCACACTTTACACACACAAAATTCCACATACAGCTTTGTGAGATTTTTTGTGTTTGTGTAGTTAGAGTGAAACACTACAGAAACACACTAAATCTCAGATAGCTGCACAAATATTATTTTATTTTAATTTATTTTTATTTTTATATAAAAGCAGCTAAATTTAAAACTTCCTAAACTTTAAATGGCTAGGTCTAAAAAAAGAACAACTAAAAAAAACCCCAATTAACTATTTTTTTAAAACTCCCAAAGGGGGAAAAAACTTACCCAATAGAACATGGGTTTCCAACCTTGGCAACTTTAAGACTTGTAGACTTCAACTCCCAGAATTCCTCAGCCAGCTTTGCTTTGCTGGCTGAGGAATTCTGGGAGTTGAAGTCCACAACTCCCTGCCTGCTTGATTGCAGGCAGGGAGATTCAGTTGCTTGCTGATGCAATGGATTGCAGCAGGGATTACAGCAATGCGTTGCGACCAGCAGCTAAGGTAAGCAAGCAGAGGGGGGGAGTGGGAGGGATTTTTGCTACTGATTAGCAGTAAAAGAAAAGTTTTTTTTCTTTTACATAGCTCTGGCGATCCAAGCTGAGTTGCCTGATTAGCAGGCAACTCAGCTGGGATCGTCAGAGTTTGGTTCCTCAGAGCCATTTTAAAGAAAAAAAAAGGTTCTGATGATCACGCAGCTCAGCTGGGCATGAGGGGCGGGGGCAGGGATTTTTGCTACCAGTTCTCCGAACTGCCTGCCGCCATTGCTACCTACTCGCCCGAGCCGGTCCGAACCGGGAGCATTTCACCCCTGCTCCCCACCTTTTGTCCAGTTCCCCCTTTTTCTTTAAACTACCTTTTGCCCTTTCAACTATAAGTTGGTTTCTTCATGCCTATGCATTTTGCTTTGTTACAGAAAAGAGACCACACCAGCTCTTTATCGAAAGGAAAGGTTTATTGCGCAAGGTTCAGCAGCGATAGCTCAAGCAAAGTCTGAACCCCAAGGGGTTTTTGCATACAGGTTTATATATTCTTTTCAGTCAGTATATTCATTTCCGGATGTATACATGATTACCATATATGGGTATGACATGCCCAGTTCCTTGGTCCTGCTGGGGTAGCCCAACAAAGGTGAGATGTCACGTATACAAAGAGCGGGGACTTAATCCCATCAGTCCTCTCATTCAACAATGTCATGTAGGCATTGAGAGCGGGGACTTAATCCCATCAGTCCACTTTATCTTAACCCACAATTCCTGTTTCTTTAGGATTTTAGTGGCATACACATAATAAATTGAGACAAGCAATTAATTTCTTCATTATGTGTAAGGTTATGTGGTTAAAACTGTTGGCTAGTCTATTTTTACAAAAATAGGACCGCAGACATTTTCTGTTTTCCACTCTTGGCTTGACCTTTTTTCCTTAGTGTACCAAGACCCTATTGAACTTCTAAACATACATTCTCAAAAGGTACATCCTTTTTGCAAAAACAACACGATCTCCATTTTACATTAGAGAGTGCTAATGTAGTGCTAACATTATGCATGATGCAATCTATGCTGTGATTGGTTGCTCAAAGTATAAAGGGGGAGTTTCCCTTTTACCCCTTCTTTTTCTGTATATTCTGTATACTGTTTTAGATTTACCTCATGGTATTCCTGTGTTCATGATATCTTATATTCTTCCATTTCTGGATGATGTCAAAGACTGCTGTAAATTTGAATATTAAATATATTTATATAAAAGACTACAAGTTTATGCCAGTGTCTCTGACTTCATCTGGAGAGCTGCTCCACAATTCTTTGACAAGAAGTATTAGTATAGCTGCTTGCTAACTGAAGCTGAGGGGACTGACCACATATAGAAAATGTTATTTTAGTGGAGGGATGTGGCTAAGGAACATTGCTAAGAAACTTTGCAAGCAAGTCTGTACCTGGAATAAAGGAAGGTGACATGATATTTACCTTAAGCTGTAGGAAAGAGGTCTGGACAAGGGTCTGGAGGTGAACAAAGTTTGTCATTAGCATGCTAGAAGCACAGCCCCCTAAATATTTAG